CCGATTCGGAGTCGCGGAGAACCTAACGGGTAACCGGGGCTCCGGCTCGACGTGCAGGAGAAGGAACGGGGTGGTTTTTAGTCAGTAAGAGTCTGACACTCCCTCCCGCCTCACCCAGGCTGGTGCAGTCATTCGATGATTTTCCCCCCTTAAAAAAAAAAAAAGTAGGAGTTAAGCGATATTTGGGGGATTTGTGTCTGAATTAAAAAACAAAATATAAAACCAACGAAAAGTTGTAACTATCTTTTCTCATAACCGTAATTGTTCGTGTTCAAAATCAGCGTGATTTCATGTGGTACGATAATATCTTGAGATTTAGATAATCTATTGCCATAACCTATTATAAATAGGGTACAGACACAATCGTGCAATATTGCAATCTCCAATCTCTGTCACCATTTAATAGAATATTGTTAAGTTCATCGACTGATATTTCGAACTTGTCGTGAATAAAAAATACATGCAATTGTTTTGATTGAGAAACAATGATGTTTGCAAAATGGCGGGTCAAACTAGAAAGGATAGTAAATGACGCCATATTGACAAGGTATGCAACAGTAATTGAGAGGAGAGATGAGTTAATAATAGTAAACATTTTAATAATTCGTGTACCATAGATATGTGTCTGAAATATGTATTTGTTCCGTACATAAGGTGTAATTAGTTACTTGATCACAATTACATTACCTATCTAGCGGAAAATAAGGTCAAACTTTGCCGAATCCAGACTTCAAGCTAAATAAATAGTTATGACATTTATTAAGAATTTTACAATTGGAAAACCCAGTACCTACTCAAACTGCTTTCTCTGAAAAACGCCCTGAACTTCAATACTTGCACTCGCGCTCATTGGGTCATAAAAGTAATTTAGGGACACTTAAAATCTTCCGGTGCATTTAATAAAACCTTCATCGCGTTAAAGGCGCCAACTGTCGAACTTCAAATTAATCGAACATCCGGTGTAACGGCTGCGTTCTAAGGAAGCGTCTCCATTAATACAGTAGTACAATGGCGGCACTGATTCCTTCCATCTTGTAAATAATATGACACAATGAAGTTGATTAAGTCGTTTTATTTAAAATGTGTTTCTTTGTGTCTCCGTAGTAAACAGGTAGTGGTACTACAAGCTATTGATACGTTTTTTATCTGTCGCATTCTTGTGAGAGATAAACGCCTATTAATTGTCTACTTGTGTTTTTACTCAATATGCTAATGAACTATTTATGTTAGAACTCTTCCAGTCTTCCCTGATGTTTTATTCGCGTGTTTTAGACAGCCTTCCTCACTTCCAAATGTGCTACGGAAAGTAACTTCCAATGAACGTTTCATATACGTATCCAGGTTTTGCGCATTCATTTCTCGTACACATCATCTTTTAACCAAATCAGAAAATCGTCTTTTTGACGCTATTCTGTACTTCTCGTCTTAGACACTCAGTTGTGCTTGTGCCCAATAATTATAATTAAACAATGTAACAGGCGATAAGTGAGTGTCTTACGTGCTTATCTTATCTTACGAAAAAAAACATTGATGTTATTAAATAATTACTTTAAAACATCATCGTAGCTTGAACCGTGATACATCTTGCGTGAGTAGTGAGTCATCGATTCACAGTGGCCTTCTTCTGAAGCTAGTTACTATCTAATATCGACTAGTTCGCGTGCAGTTAGCAAGTTTGTGCTATTTTAGATGTTGTTGTGGGTTTCGGGAATTTCATTCATAGTAAGTAATCTTATAGAAGCATGTAATATGCTGTGTACTAAATGCATGGTGTGTAGTAACTGCTAAGCTAATTTCAGTGTAATTACTTTGATACAAGTGGAATATAGGTACTTAAACTGTCAAACACCAAGCGGTCACCGGTGACCGCAACCTATTGTTCTATAATTGTGTCTACAAAACCGGTACTCGACGAGTTAATTAAATAACCTATGTATAGTAATTGTGATGGCTGTAGATTTTCAGAATTTGTTTTATAGTAATTGATAGGATGGACAATAACTACTTAACTAAATCACAATCACTACCGTCTTTTGGATCATGTCGTGTGAAAATGTTTTTCCTTCGGGATAGATAAATAAGAATGTATTTGATATTTTTGATTACTCTGGAAATCTCCCACTTTTGACAGAGGTTACTAAATTCAGCCAAAATCAACACTAAATTGAAACGATTGAAACCAACAAATTCATCTAAGTAAGTAATGAAATATGAATCTGAATACACACGATAATCGTCGTATCCAATGCCAAAACCTGCGGTTTCGCACAGGTAAGTATAAAAAAATTGTCACCTAAAAAAACCAATATTGCTACGAACAATTAAAAAAAAAGTATTTGCATAAAAAGCTAGTGCTCAAATTACATACTCTTTTAATCATCATATCAAGACTAGATTACCTAGGCCAGTTAATAAGTTGGTGGGTAGTATCATTATAATTTACATTAACTACTTACTCAACTACCCACATGTAAATGTTCTAGGAACTAAAATAAGTAGGAAGGTAATTTTTTACGTGTGTGTAACCTGTGTAGTTGTTTAAAATCTTCCTTCTTCTTTCAATAAACGTATAATTATCACGTTTAACGATAATAGGCCAATTTAGAACGAAACATACAAATAAAAAAGTCCAATCTATGGCTATTAGACGAAAAAACCCATTATTTTTCAATTCAGATCATTAACGTACAGTCAGATTTAAAATTAGATTAGTAGAGGTATAATCGTGTACGAATCTTAGAGGATTAATTCTAACTGTTTCTGTAAGTACCTAAGTGATAGAATGTTGGTAATTTTTCGTGTAGGTACTTTAAGTGGGTAGCGAATTTGAAGATTTCTACATGTAGCTCTATGTGGAGTATTTAAAACAGGTTTAAGTGGTCTACATAAACTAGATACATAAACTATAGTACCTGCCTGCGTATGAAGTATGGAGTGTAAGGAGAGTGAGACTTCTGACGCTTACTGTACATTGTATGGTCCAAGTGTCTATCATGTGTACCTATATCTTTTCATATACCTATGTCCTTTTACAACTAAAACGAACAATAAGCTCTGTTTTAAATATAAGTACCGATCTTGATAAGCAGCTAGCTACGTAAGAAGCAAATGAACTAGCTAACAAAAGTACCTAACTGTCGACAGACTAATATTTCGAACACAATACAGAAGTGCCTAGGTACTTACATACCTATCTACATGTAGGTAATGATTGATCACGTAGTACTACGTAGGTAGGTACTTGATGCCGCATAGTTGATGCAAGAAGGCCCAGGTAAGCAACGGACGCAATCCACACACGCCATAAGTGGAAATGCTGAGCAAAACCAGTCCTTTCCCGCCTCGGGAAATTCATGACCGTGGACCGAGGTGGAGTTTCAAACATTGCAAAACTTTTTCCATTTTAACACGCAAAAGTAAAGCAGATATTGTTTCTTTCTTCACGTGCAGCATTTTAGTAAAACAAAACTGTATTTCAATAATAAAAAAAGTTTCAAACTTTATGTTTACTCACCAAAAAAGTCCTCCCAAGTCATAGAGTGATCAGAATCGCCGTTCGCACCGTCCATCTTCAAACACTATTTCCAAGCTTCGCTAACTGAACATTTCCTCATCCATACAACGTGTAAGCAATAAAAACACAAAATCGTTTTATTTTTATGTCACCAAACACAACTGGTTACATTTTTTATTTGTTGATAAACAAAAAGACATCGCGTTCGATACTCTCGCGGCGGCGGGCAACGAAACGCACGACCCTCACGCTCGACGACCGACTCGTGAATGAAACAAGACGTCGAAAAAGTTTGTTGCGTTGCATTTCGGCCAACTCAACCAGAGGCACAGGCACGGAGGGCTCAAGTCGGCCCTCGCCCTCTCGCATTATGCATCCCGTTGTCGACTCGAGCCCGATATGTAAACTTTAGTTTGCTTGCTCCGCTGATAAGCATAATCTTCGTAAGAAGTTTCCTGCACATTATGATGAAACTGTACGAGATAACAGTTGCAAAGTAGAATAGGTTTGGTTGTTATCAACTTTAAAAATTTAGATACTTGTTTGGATTAATTATAATAGTGTATTTTACTTTTACATCGTCATTTTACGTCCACAATTTTTTCTTCATTACTGTACTGACTACTGATTTACTGTTAGAGACGTTGTCTGTCTACTGTCGTTTCTTGCTCGTTCTTCTCCATAGGAATCTACACCTTGGAAAGAGCAAATAAATTCACTTTTTTTTAAATTTTTTGTCGACGTTCAAATGTGTCTTTCTGGTCTAAGTAATTGAAATAAATGATTTTGACTTTGACTTGATTCTAACTAAGTTTTTTTTTTGTGAAATACAGTCTATTTTTTCCGCGGTTATTATCCTGCAAAGTTCGTAGATAGTACACTAGTACTTACTGACCTGACCTATAAGGTCATTTTCCAATATATTAGGTAACCTTTAAAGTTCTTAAAATGAATTTTAATTTTCGCGCCCACCTAATTGCAAAGATAAAAATGAATTAAAAATAAAAATAAAAAATAAAAAAATATTTACTTTTTCTTGATTGTGAAAGAACCGGTCATTGATTTCTTAACGTAGAGTAGAGCAACGATAGTTTAGTCGATTACAACTTTCCATTTTTGTTAATTGTATAAACGTTTAACAACGGTCAAGCACATTTATTTTTGATTAGTTGAATGGTTGAGCTATAGTCATTAGGCTATAGCTCGATTTATAGCCGTTTTAGATTGAGCAAGTTATGTATTTAGAGTAGAATCAGATGATAGCAGTAAGTAATGAATGACTGAGATTATTGTTTATAAATAGACTTTTTTCAAATATAAATAAGTGTACTAGAGAAATCTATTTTAATACTACGTTTATTTAAAATAATGATTGTTTTTTTTATTACTAATTAACTAAAATAAATATCTCGGCATATTCAAATAGTAAATCGACTAAATTTCTTTCTAGAACAAGTCGTTTGAAACTTGGTCGTCTCTAGTCTATTGATACAAACAACATGGCGGAATTTTGATCAGTTGTTATGTTTCCTGCTAATTTAGTTGAATAACTTTTTGAAAATAATATAATGCTCACAAGTGAACTATTTCAGTAAAGCAATTGTTTATAAGTTTTAAGAAATTGTATGCAGTGGTTGGTGTATTGTCGTATTTTAGCATAATTAGCTATGAGAAGGTAAGGTGAACTTGGAGGAACAAAAATAACGGATAATTTCATTTTCTTGTCACATTGCTGAGCACGTTATAGTTTATTAGATTATGGAGAAACTTTATATAACAATGTTTCTGTTTTCAGTTGGTGGTTCTCGTCTACAACCGTTAAAATTGTTATCAGCAAAAAAGATCATTGAACTGGTATTATTACAAAATTCTGGATGTAGTCGCAATGCCGCGACGAGGAACAGAACTAGTGCAGCTGCCTGTGCCCCCAAAAAAGAAAACTAAGACAGTGGAAGAACTTCCAAGTCCTAGTCTGGACGTGAGTTACTGTGATGATGAAGCTCTGCCCCCTGGGATAGTGTTTACTGATGTCTTGCAGAAGAAATGGAGGATCGGAAAGCCTATTGGTAAGTGAACTAAGTAAAGAATATTAAAATCTGCAAGGTGACCCACTGAGCATAACGGACAAGCACTTCTTTTGTTACAATTAGCATGTGTCATCAATACAATACTGTATGGTACTGTTAATTATGGAAAAATAAAATAACAATAGCAGTAAAAAGTATTTACTCAATCTAGTTCCTGTATTGTTCATGTCAGCTGATGCCATCGGTAAAAATAGCAGGTGTTAACTATTATCTTTCGACAAACATACCTACTTAGAATATTTACATTAACAATCATAGTTAAATCACAGTTCACATGTGCATCATAAGTGGTGTATCTTACTACTTATAATGCAATGACATCAGTACTAACATTACTAAATAATCATTGGTTTATTTACAATCTATAGCTACTGCACTTAGCTACAAGTTACATTAACTTTTACAATAATTTTCACAAATCTATTTTGAAGTTTACACAGAGATATTAATATAATTCATATGCAAATCTGGAAATGTGCCTGATATATGGCAATAGGCTCCCCCCTATTACATGGGACTCATAACATAATAGTGAAAAGTGGGTGTTACATTGTACAGTGGCATTAAGTGCCAAAATGTGCAGCCTACCCCTTCGGGGATAAAAAGGCGTGATGTTATGTATGTATAATTCATATTGTCTTTCTTTTCTATGGAAATAAAACATCATAATTGCATTATTAACACATAATTAACTAATAGCATTAAACATAGTCAAAATACCTAAAAAAATCATCAATCAGGTATTTAATGTATATAATGAGATACAAGGTTAGATTCTTGTAATGAAAGCATAGCAAGGCCTACACATGTATAAAAACATTGAGTCCTCAAGATGAAACTAGTTTGAAACCTGACAAACAACTTTTTACTTGTACCCTGATATAAACATAGGACTTGTGCTAACAAAATCAAATCTCTTCTGTCTCAACATAATGTATATGAATAATATTGTATTTGGTAGAAAAAAAAAATCAACATTGTTGATAATTGACATTGTAAGTACAAAAAAGTATTTTAAACGGTTCTGTAGCAATCACTCATTCAACTTCATTGAAAATCAAATTCATCTAATACATAGAAGCTTTCTTTCATTAAATTGGTTGTTATTTATTACAATTATTATAGAATTAACTTATATCATATGGTTTTTACATAATTCAAGTTGTATTTTCCATTCTGAAATTTGTATGACGCGTTTAATATCAATAAAGTGATTCATCTCTAGTTATGTGTAATTTAATTCATTATTATTATTTCTTATTACAGGTAGAGGCAGTTTTGGTCGTATTTACTTAGCTTCCGACGATGTTGAAAAGGAGGTCACAAAATTAAGTGCAAGATATGTAGTCAAGATAGAACCTCACAGTAATGGACCTCTTTTCGTGGAGATACACTGCCTCATCAGAACTGCACAGTCTTCTCAAAGTAAGTGATAAGTAATTTATTAATAATTTAATGAATTGTTTATAAAATTGTTACATTATCTATCTCCCTGCCTAAAATTCAGGGACAGAGTTAAAGATAAGGTCAACATTATTATTAAATTATCACTTTGTCACTACATTTATAAAATTTTAACTAATTGTTGTATGTTTTGTCCTCAGTAAAAGCATGGCGACTAGAAAACAAGCAAAAACGTATTGGTATGCCTGTCTACATAGCCAGTGGGTCGTTCACAGATGAAAACACCGGCACTAAATACAGATTCCTTGTCCTACCACGCTATGACATAGACTTACATAAAATCGTCGCCAGAACTAAAGTGCTGGACATCAAAAATGTTCTAGTACTTGCATTACAAATACTAGATGTCTTGGAGTACTTACATAGCCAAGGATACACACATTCTGACATAAAAAGCTCTAATCTAATGCTTGGATTTGATGGATCACGAGTTGGAAAAGTTCCTTTTGTAAAATTAACTCCATCTTTCCAAAAGGACACTAAAGAGCTAGCTGTGTTATCTGGTAAACACAGGAGAGTGAAACCTACTAAGGGAAGAACCTCTAACTACTATGATGATGAAGATTTTATCATCAAGGAGTACAAGAGTCCAGATGAAACAAATGATAATGACAAGAGACTAGCAAATGTCAAAAAGAAGCTACGTAGAATCCTGTCAGACAGAGATAGTAGAACTCTCCACCGACATCATGCATTCAATCTCAGACAGATATCCAATTATGTTAATTATGAGGATATGAATAGTTCTATCTGTTCTGATCAATCCTATCAAAAACTACTGGATGATTTTGGTGGCAAGAACTTAATTCGTACTACTAAAGAATTTCAAGAAGACACTAGAAAACGAAATGCTAGGGAAAAGAGAGAGAGTGAGCCTGAAAATGTTGACGAATTATTCCAGGAAGCTGTCCTATCACAAACTAATGGACAGATCTATTTGTTGGACTATGGTTTGGCTTCCAAATTCCTAGACTCTGATGGTATGCATAAAGAATTCAGTATGGATGCCAGAAAAGCTCATGATGGTACATTGGAATATAGTTCAAGAGATTCACATATTGGAGCTCATTCTAGAAGATCAGATCTGGAAACCCTTGGTTATAATCTGCTAGACTGGCTAACAGGAACCCTGCCTTGGAAAACATCAGAGGTACTAGCGGAGCCTGACCTAGTCCACGCTTTAAAGAAAAACTTCATGACTGACATCAAATTGTTGTTGAAAACGTGTTTTAAGACTGAATTCTATCCCCAATTCTTGGAAAAATACCTTGAATATGTCACAAGTCTTGACTTCACTGAGAAACCCGATTATGACTATTGTAGAAGTCTATTTAAGAGTGAATTGTTGAAAAATGGCTGTTCTAGTGATAAGGAAGTGTGTCTAAGTTTTAATGAAGCACCAATGTCTCCAATGAGTCGTAAACTATATTACTCTAATAGGTTTGGAAAGAAAAACACTACCCCCAGTTTCTTAGCAAGGCATGGCATCAAGAAAACATATGAAAGAGAAAATTTTTGTTCACTTGAAAATGACTTGAAACTAGAACTATTGAAACAAACTTTAAACTCATCCAGTGATGGAATCCGCAAGCCTTGCGCGTCTCGAAACTTCTTCATTTCAGATGCCGATTTAGTAGCTCGGTTGAAGAAGTCTCTAATGCCACATGACATATTTGGTAAAAAACTATCACCTAAAAACTTGAGATCTAAAAAGAAGAACATAAAAAAACGCAGGGGAGTAAGAAAGCACAGGAATAGTATAGGCAAGTTTGGTAATTTTATGGGCTCTGCGCGCCAGTTTACTTGGGCGGAAATCTTAGCCGGCAACCCAGAAGATATCATTCGTAATGCCGAACGCAAAACTGCTGCAGTGAATACAGAGTATGTTGATGATGAAACTTGCAAATATAGGATCAGGAAATTATCAAATGCATCAGAGAACAGTGACTCACATCTACAATCACCACTGATGCAAAAAGACTACTTACAAAACCTGAATCCTACCTATGCCATGAAGGAAGTGGTGGCAGCTTTTAAGAGGAAGGTTGCTGGTAAACCAAAGGAGCCTGAAGAACCTATTGAGGGGTTAGAAGGTTACACTCCAGCGATGGTCAAAGTGTACAAAATGAAAGAAAAACGAGAAGCAAAAGAGAAAATGGAAGCTTTGAAACAACAGACATGTGCTAAGAAAGAAACTGCTCAAGTTCAAACTAGATGCACAAGGTCTATGAGGAGTAAGAATCCAGTGGAACCAAGTTCCAGAGTCACAAGAAAAAAAGGTAGTGTTGACAGTAGTAAGTCAGTAGAGGTTGAATCGAAAGTAGTTCCTAAGTGTACTGGTAGAACGCAAAGTAAGAAGGTCGCAAATAAGAAGGAGGACAAAGAAACTAGTAAGAAGGAAAAGAAAGAAGTTGTAGTTGTAGAGCCCGAGAAACCCACAGTGAAACCTACAAAAAGTAAGTGTATTATAAAGTTTTCTACCAATCATCTTCTAACAGCATGACTCAATAGCATCACTCATTTGGTTTCAAGTCATATTTCGTTATATTTTTTCAAGCTTTAATTTATTTTTATTTAAGTTTTGTCCACTGAAAAGCTGAACCCAACACCACTCTACTGCTACAGATTCAAGCTTGGTCTGTCAATATTTTTACACACTCTGAAATCACCAAAAATTGTGATTATGGATAGAAATAAAGCAGTCTATTCTATACTTTTAGTAAATTAACAAATCTGTAATAGTTACTTTCTAGTGAAGTATAATGACAATTAGTAATAATTGTTTTTTCTTATTACAGAAACAAGAAGCAAGACCCTTACAGTTGTGAGCAACAGAAGGAGGTTGAGAAGTAGTAAACGCAAGAAATGATTGTAGTACTTTGTCACTGGTCCATCTCTATGTCTAGATTGAGGGTGTATGAGTGTCGCTTTTCAAATCTATAGGTTAAGCTCTAATGTAGGTACCGCCTCGACTCTATTTTTTTATTTTTCAAATCATTGAAGATATTATTCTTAAATAATATCGATTTGTTCTAATCTAACGAATAAGATTGATTGACGGTGTAAACTTGACCCACCATTTGTTTTGCATAATGAAATTATTGAAAAATGAAATATGATTGTTACAAAAAACTGTGATTTTATAATTTGTGAGTTAGATGTAAAATAATTATTGACGTGATTTTAGACAAGCCCACTTGACTAAAATCTACAAGAATAAGGGCTTTATTCGAATATTACTTGCATTTAATAAAAATAATTGGTTTTCCTTAGTAGCTATGTACTTGAGTACTATTAGCCGTTTTTGTCATTGTCGGCTTGACGTTCCTTTGTGTAAGTCCTTTGATTATTATAAAATAAATCATTTTGTTGAAATTATTGCTTTTTTTCTGTCTAAAACTTATAACCTTCCTGAGATATTAAAATTGGTACTGAAACTGATACAAACTCAAACTTCCGTTAAAGCAATGTATAACAAGTACCTACTACTTATTTTTGTAGGAAGTTATTTTAATTTATACCCATGGTTCAATTTTGGTCCTTTATAGTCAAATTCTAAGCACATTATTATCATCATCAAATAGCAAAACACTACTCTGCTCTGTACCCATTGCGCCATTTTGCCACCTTGTTGTTAGGGTCAGGGTGTCTGGGTACTGATAAGAGATATCATCGTAACGGTCGGCCAGAAAAGATTCATAAATTACGTAACACTGATATGGGCAAGACAAAGAAATGATTGTGGCAACATTGTTATCAGGTGTCAGTGTCAATCTGCTGATGTGTCAAACTTGTCAAAGTTATCAATAATAATGACACTGACAGGTCGACGTCTGAATGATTCGGCTGGTGCATAGGACGATGTATTTTTATTATTCTAATTAATCAGTTAAATAATTGCCGGCTTGTCCACTACAGTGATAGTGACAAGTCAATAAGGCACCAAATTATTTATTTTGTCCCATTCGTTTTCGTTACGTTCATGACATAACCTTAAAGTTCCTACTTATTTTATTCTTATGTAAATTCGTGAATATTTGAATTAACAATGGAAAGTGAAGCGAAAAATGTGATTCGAGTTGGTTCGAGAAAAAGTGAGGTGCGTATTATTCCCTAGTTTACTTAAAAATTATGTCTCTATCAGAGGTTAACTATTCCATACGTGATTCTTCAGATTTTAGTGATTGTACGGTGTTAGTTCAGTATTAAAATTAATTATCATATTCATAATGTTTGTAACGTTTCACGTTACTATTATATATTTTCAAGGTCTTAAGTTACTCGTGTTTACATTTAATTATATATGTTAACATTTAATGTGTGTTTATCTTGTTGACCTTATTAAAGTGTTTCTTTTTTCTAATTTTTTTTATATAATTTTTGGTTTCTATATAATCACAAGACCCAAATTTTGATACCATCAAGTTTTAACAGTTTCACTTATTCACTTTTTTCTTTCTTATTAATAATTTTCTTTCTAAAACGTGACCTTTGGTACTTAAGGATTAATTTTGAATTGAAAAGAGTAGTTATAGATTAAAAAAAAAATACAAATCAAGGTGTTATGCATTCATCCTGTAGATTAAGGTCATTAAGTTTGTAGGTGTAATAATAGTAGGTAGGTGCCTGTACATACAAGCATAAAATCCAATTAGAAAACTAATGAGTAGTTTCTGATTTCACTTTAAATATTTCCTGTGTTACATAAAAATATTGAATGTTAATTGCAGACTGTATGACTTGCTAACTTCATGTTTGCACAGATGTTTTTCAAACATTCAGTTTTATTGATACTATGTTACACTTACGGATGTGGTTTACATTGTAAATATCTTATTGATCTCTCAACTCTATTTGTTTATGATTGGCTTTAAAAACGATCTTAGACATTTGTGAAGTCGCGGAGAACCTAACGGGTAACCGGGGCTCCGGCTCGACGTGCAGGAGAAGGAACGGGGTGGTTTTTAGTCAGTAAGAGTCTGACACTCCCTCCCGCCTCACCCAGGCGGGGGCAGTCATTCGATGATTTTCCCCCCTTAAAAAAAAAAAAAAAAGACATTTGTGAAATTCATAAATTAGGGTATTAAGTCAAAAATTTTATTTAAAAATATTCTTACTTGCAATATTGTCTCACTTGAGTAGGCAGAGGCAAAGACAACTTCTAGTTCTTTTTTAACAGACTACAAAAATGTAGGTTTTTATTTGGACCTTCAGATTCTTTTAACCATAATCTACCCAGTACTTATAAATAGCAAGTCACTGTACCCATGTTGAACATAATTCAACATCCAAATAACAAATAAAATATCAAAATCATCATCAAACAACATAATTTATTCTTGTCATGCTAAAATGCAAATATCAAACTCTGAATAAGAATTATATACCTACCTATGTGTTTTTGTTTCAGCTGGCTCTGATACAAACCAACTATGTCATTGACTGCCTGAAAAAAGTACACCCTGAAAAGGAATTTACAGTAGGTGAGTATTGTCGTGTTTTAATAAGGAATAAATTCAAAAACCAGCAAAAATTTGCCCAACCCGAGAATCAAATCCGAAACCGCTTACTCGGCGGTCGCACTCGTTACAACTTGACCACCGACGCAGTTAATTTAAACTCGTAGAAGTAAAATACTTTATTACCAATAAGGACGAAAACTGATATAGATTGGCACTTTAAAAACAAACACAGTCTATTGTTAAAGTGCATATAATGCCCCATCCACACACTTGATGTTTTGATGTTTGCCACAAATACCAAACAACAAATAAAGTCCTAAACATCGATGTGTAGCAAGGGTGTGGAATTGTGGATACTGGTTACATCGCAAACCGTTTGCCGAACAGCCTTTGATCTCTGTGTTCGCCACTCTTCGACACCGATGCCGAACAGCGGCGAACACAAACAAGAACAAAAAACACACACATACAAACACCCATCCACCATTCCTGTGTGCTGTTTGCTATGTTCGCCAAGCGTGCGGGCACAGCATAATAGATCAAAGAAAATCGTTCGTTCGCCCGCTGCGATTTTCGACCTCGCGTCGTATAGCGCACACAACAATAGGTTATTGAACTCTGTCTTGTAACAAAACGGAATTAATACAAGTTGTAAGGCACTTTATGGAGTTCCTATTGTTGAGAAAGTACATACTAACAAGTATTGTCGTCGGTACACCATGTGATTTATTTTATTAAAGGCGTGGTGCACAACGTCTGGATAGCCACTCAGTCAAAACCGTTTATGGCGACATCGTTTTAGTTAGAACAACATACCGGTTAAATTGACTAAGTGAAACAAGTGAATTTATTTCTGCAAATAGGCTACAAGGCAGCACTTTTACACGTCAATTTTATCAAGCGAACGATGAGGTCGACTTTCCTAACTGACTGACTACTCTGAGAAGCAATGCCGAAATAAACTCAGAGGTCCGTCTTTTTTAAAGTCCAGACAAATGTGTATAAAAGAATATGTGTGAGAACCGTGCAAGTTCTTTCTGTAGTGGCCTTTTGAGAAAGGACCACAACAGTTTGAGCGGACCCGTTCTGAAGGCAGTAACGCATGTGTCTGTTTACAGTCAGCTCAATTAACAGGTGAGGCTGACTGATTCGACAAACAATAAGTACCAACCTAAAGAACATTTGCGTGGGTCGCACAAATACTCAAACTGTCAGAATATGGGTAATTAGAAAAGAAATGGCGAGGCAAAGTCATGCACGGTCCTAGCACTAACAATTGTAAATTGACCAAAATCAAAGGTCCTGGCTGAATGCTATTTAACGACTTATCAAAAACATTAATGTTTACAACATTGTTTACTACGACATACAGCATTAAGCGACCACATGTCGTTAATGTTTTCGGAAAATTACTTATATCTAAAAAACAGTGACGTCACAATACACAATCGCGTACAAAATTCATAGAAAACTGTCGTTTTTAACAGTTCAAAAAGTATTGAACAACTACTATGAAAGTATCCAATTGTATACAGATATATTTGAATATAGAACATGCCTTATTTGTATAAATTATATGGCACATATAGGTAAGTGTATCGAGTACTTTATATGAAGGTTTTTAAGGTTATTACATTTTTTATTTAATTTTGAACCAGCAGTTCCATATGTCTTGAATAGCGAGTTCAATCAAACAAGTTCTTCAGCTTTATCTCTACCTACTATACCAAAAATCCTAATTGGACCTTAAAACTCAAAGTTACTCAAAACAAATCATAGGTACTTTTGATCCATTGATAAGGTCTAATAGGATCTAATATTAATATGATTGATTATTCCAGTTACCATGACAACGCTGGGAGACCGTATACTAGACGTGTCGTTGCCGAAGATAGGAGAGAAGTCTTTATTCACCAAAGACCTTGAAGACGCACTGAGGAATGATACAGTGGACTTCGTGGTGCATTCCCTGAAGGACCTACCTACCACCTTACCCGATGGTCTGGCTATTGGTGCTGTGTTTGAAAGGTAAGAATAGACTCTATTTTTTTTTTTTTTTTTTGTTTTGAAAATAGAACTCTAATTGACGTTAATTATTATGTTTTCGCCTTACTCATGTAATAATTTGACGAGGAACTCGACTAGTTTCAACAAAATTATCAAACCAAGCCAGAGTCGAGTAGCCAGTAGAAGAGCGACATTCGCGGGTCGCGAAATGCTGCTTATGAATATGAGCCTCTAGCATGGCATGAAACTAGTCGACTTCGTCGTCAAATTATTAAGTGAGTAAGCCGAAAACATAATAATTTATTTAGTATGTCTCACGAAAGTTACAATACAAATCTAATTGACGTTTTTGTGAACCCAGATTTATGATTGGAATGTGACGGAAGCTATAATATATTGTTAAAGTAGGCAAGGATCTTAGTAAAAGGCTCTCTGTAGATGTACTTTGATAGATTGATTGTGTAATAAAATAAATATAGGTACCATAGTCCCAAGCAGTAGACGATACCACCTATATGTTAACAATGTTCGGTTAAATCCAAACGCCGCGTTACTATTCAAAATTGTATATAATTGATAATCTTGCTACATTACTATGTTTAGCTGCATTACTTATTATTATTAATATCTTCAAGTAAATAAAGTGTTTAGATAACGGACGTCTTATCTCCAGTTCGGCCGAGTCATTACTGAGTCACGGCAAGTCAGGGAAAATTATTTTGTTGCTATTTATGTTCAGTATCTGTTAATCTACAGTAAATAAACGTTAATATGTTTTAATCATAATGACTTTTCGCTTTTTGTCTTGATTTTTAAAACTGCCTCGTTGGCCGAGTGGTCGCAAGTGCGACTACCGGGCAAGGGGTCTCGGGTTCGATTCCCGGGTCGGGCAAAGTATTACTGGGTTTTTAAAAAATTGTGTCCAGTATATGCCAAATGGCTCACGCCCTATTACATGGGACTCATAACATAAATAGTAAAAAAAACATAAACAGCCGAATTGATAACCTCCTCCTTTTTGGGAAATCGGTTAAAAAGTGGTGGTGCCATTGTACAGTGGCATTAAGTGCCGTAATGTGTCTATCAAATGATTAAAGATTAGATGTGTAATTATTTATTAGGATTTGCGTACTTGGATTCCTCTGATGATGCGAAAATCCATGGACAGCGCGCAGCGCTTACCATCAGGTTCTCCTTCTACTCTTATACTGCTAGTTAATTCCATAAAAAGACAGAATTTTGACATTTTAATAATACGTTCCCTATTTCAGAGAAGACCCGAGAGACGCATTGGTTCTTCGAGAGGACTTCAAAGACCACACACTGGCTACATTGCCTGAAGGATCCGTTATAGGTACGTACGTACCTAATTAAGTACATTCAACATCATATTTTGATTGGTATGAAATTATTGATGAATGTAGATGAAGCGAAAAATTAAAAGGGGTATAATGCCAAAATCGTGTCGTTTGACGTCCCATCGTCTTTGCCTTCTCTAATGGGAGGCAGGCATGATAATATATATGAGTGTGTGGTCTCAATTTTAAGCTCTATGAGATCAAAAGTTAACATAACATCACGCCTTTTATCCCCGAAGTGCAGAAGTACACAATACACATTACGGCACTTCAATGTCACCGTACAATATAAAGTGGGTACTTTGCACTATATACATACGCTAAGAGTCTCATGTAATGTAATAAACTGCCTCGTTGGTCGAATGGTAGCAAGTGCAACTGCCGGGCAAGGGGTCTCAGGTTCAATTATAGGGTCGGGCAAAGTACTACTGGGTTTTTTTTTACCTGATTCTCTGAGTCTAGAATTGTGCCCGGTATGCCTATAGGTTCACCCCCTATCAAATTTTAATGGAATTTGTTAAGTAATTCTTTAGCCTTGTAACCTTTCAATCATAGCGATATCGACTAGACTGGTTACTGATAAGAATTATATAAAACAATGTGTTGTGTAAGACTTCAGTGCCTACATAATGTACTTCTAGATATCGACATTTTATAGTAGATAGATCATTAAAATAGGTCATAAAATTTATGTTTGTGTATCTATCTAGTTAGTATTTCCCTTTTGTGTAGATCAACAGGTTGTCCTTGAAGTCGACGATCAAACGGCACCAGATGATCGACAAGGTTCCAACAGTAATCAGAAAAATATTAAAAAAAAATCCAAGTCAGATAGTTTTTAAATTACAATGACTTATGTGTTATCCACGAAAAAGTACACTCTGTGCCAGTCTTTTGACTCTTGTTGCTACAATTCTTTATTTTCTCGTCTGTATTTTTGCTTACGTCATTCTGAATAGAGCTTCAGTATTATTAAATCCAAAATTTTGAACCAACTTCTTTAGTTAAGAAAATAATGTCGTTTTTTCATAAACCAAAAGTATTCTCAATAAAATTTTTACCTTAGTTTAAGTGTGTGTATTGAAAAAAAATTGTACTGTGGTAGTAGTGGCGAATTTCACCAAAGTTGGCGCATTTAATGAGGATTCTAAATTAATATACCACTCCCTACATTATTTCTTAAACTCGACAGTAACCGCTTACCATCAGGTGGACCGTGTGCTTTATTGCCACAGTCGTGGTATGAAAAAAAGTAAATTATAAATGTGAAAGTTTGTTACACTTCTACGCAAAAACTTCTGAAGGGATCTGATGTAGATTACCTATAACCTGGAACGACACATGATGGTAATAGGCTCAGGCTCATCCCCTATTAGATGGGACTCATCACATAAATAGTGAAAAGAGGGTGTTACATTGTACGTTGGCATTAAGTGCATTATGTTATGCTATGACATAGGACATTGGCTAATTTTTGTCTCAGGAGCGCGAAAATGGGAATAATTTTTTGTGCTTACGAAGTTGCTGGTCGAAGCTAGAGTTGTTATTATAATTGTAATGACTAGGTACATCATCACTACGTCGCACCGCTCAACTGCGCGGTTCGTACCCGCAGTTGTCTGTCGCAGACGTGCGCGGCAACCTCAACACGCGACTACGCAAACTGGACACGTCTGGACAATACACCGCGCTGCTATTGGCTAGCGCTGGCTTGCAACGCATGGGATGGAAGGACCGGATATCTAAGGTAGGGTAAAACATTATAATATAAAAGTTTACTACTAAAACAATGTAATTATTAATTTTGGTATTTATATTTGTAGTTTCATCTACATTAATCGCTTTCTTATATTAAAAGGTCGTCTATTTGGAAAAAAATATTTGCAACTCCTCTAGGGTGACGTATGTCTATGGGCTGTGCCCATTATTTACCATCAAGTGATGCGTCTGCGTATTTGTCAAATTAATGTGATCGTCAAATTCCAAAACTTTTTGTTATTCTGCAGGTTTTGCCTTGCGCGGACATGAAATACGCAGTAGGACAGGGTGCCCTGGCCGTGGAGTGTCGGTCGGACAACACGAACATTCTGAACATGTTGGCGCCCTTCAACCATCCAGAGACTTACTGCAGGATCCTCGCGGAGAGGAGCTTCCTAAAGACTTTAGGTATGTTAGAAAACAAAATAACATAGATGATATTACTGTCTGGGAGGCTGATTCTAAAATCTATATTTACTTAGAGAAATCAATGTGTCAACTCTTTGATGACCGTCATTAGTGGACCTAAACACATAACTGTAACAAAAAATGCTTGATGATATTGTTACTTTTATTACAGGTGGAGGTTGTAGTGCTCCGGTCGGCGTCTCCACGACCCTAAAGCCAGTAGACTCCCAGTTCAGATTGTCCCTAACTGGAGCAGTTTGGAGTATGGACGGCAAAACCAAACTAGACCACACCCTTCAACAAACATTCACACAAATCAGACGCACACAGAAACACAAACTTAGTCCTACAGAAGAATCAGAATGCAAAAAAGTAAAAATAGACAATGGCGAGTCCAAAAATGAAATCCTAAACCCTAATGAAGTACTTAAAGATAATGTTGTAGGTAAATCTGTTAGTCAAGATAAAGAGGGCGACAGTGACAATCGCATTTTCTGCGGGTTAACTATAAACACAACTATACCCGTAGACGTTATAATCAAATGTGATAATCTAGGTAAAGATGTAGCCAACGCCCTCATTGAGAAAGGTGCTTTAGATGTCATGAAGGTTACTCAAGATATCATAAGAAGTTCCACAGCCGCTAAAATATCATGATTAAAACCTTTTTCTAGTGAGAAGGCTGTATGGATGTATGTCTTGTTGTATAAAAGTTTAGTGACACAAGTGGCCTTATAAAATCTTTTTTATCTGTGCAAATGTGTTTAGGAACAAATTGTAGGTATCATAAGTATATTTAATATTGTTTAAAATTCATCTAGTTTAATTTATGCCATAATGGCCAATTTTATACAGATTCATAAACTATGTATATTTGTACATAAATCTTATTGTAAAAAGTGAAATCGGTTTGTAAATTGGGATTTATCAAACAACCTTCCACGACTTTATGTCTGTAGCAATAAGGGCGACTTTCGTAGTAATTCTAATTTCATAAATATCTTTGCGTACAATATCCAAATCCAACTCACATATACATTATACATATTCTGTCAAGGGACTTTGATCTCTATAGCCTTAGTAATAAAGTTACAATAGTTAATTACTTCAAAATCGTCCTTATGTCTTTAGGTGAATTGTTTTTTTTTTTAATATTTTATCGTTGTTTGGCATAAAGATGACTGACTTATACAACGATATTTGTTTTAGTTTATTAAATTTACCTATTGCAAATATTTTATTGATGGGTGAGTAGCAAATAAATGGAGAACATGTTGCTAACTACATAATATTAAGTAATTCTCGTGTTCAGGCTGAAGGCTCCTTGAAACAATATTGTCATTTATTAGAATACAATTAGGGATGATCCCTAAAATATTATATCCGTATTACTGTTGACTGCACGGTTCGCGCGGTAGCTGGGCAACTGGCTGCCACGCAACGTGTCGCGAGTTCACTTCCCGCACGGACCAACTCTTTGTTCCACAGATTGTTGTCCCGAGTCTGGGTGTCATGTGCATGTGAAATTGTAAGTTTGTAAACGCACCCACGACGCAGGAGAAAATCATAGTGTGGGGCATCGTTTAAAAAAAACTATATTTAAACATTCGACCGTTTTCACAAACTACCTAAACCAAAGTTACCTACTCTTATCGTGAGGGAGCACCTAAACTATCCCTATACTTATACTGTCAAATAACCAAAATGTCAGAGCCACCTATCGAGTTTCATAAGATTTAAAAGAAATTGGTGAAAACGAACATTTGCTCTCCATTTACATGTTACTCCGTAGCACTGCAATTTCAGACTGCTAGGCTATCCTGTAAGATGTCATTTCGAACTCTCGAAGTGAGCTCGATCGCGGTTCGCCATGTCGTTGGTTTTGAGAATAATCTTCGAGAGTTCGAATTGGGTACTTTCTTTAATCAACAATAAACTATTTCGACTGTTCAATACAGTCAAATATAAAAAAGTAATCAAACTTTCATTCATTGGTTTTAGGACCAACTTAATTTTAGTATTTTTCCAGCAAATTTTTAACAAATAAGTATGCTGTTTGGCGCTTAAAAACGTGACGTCACAATACACAATCTCGTACATTTTTAGAAAACTGGCGTTTTTGACAGTTCGAAAAACTTATTGAATTCGGTAATTGCCAGGTTCGGTAGTTGTTAAAAATCTAATTAGTCCGTCAGTTAGATAATGAAAAATATTAGACACGTATTAGATAAAATGGCGTTAAGTTTAGGAGTGGGAGGTCGTTGCGTCACACCGTGCTGTAAAATGTAGCACGCAGTGACGTCACACGATATTTCAAATTAATATCGTCGAAAGTATTGAATTTTTTGAGAAAAGAAAAAATACTTGTCGAATGTTTTAACATAATCTACCAGGCGGACATTAAAATAAAATTTAGGAAACTACCGTATTTGACTAGTTGGCAAGTACCAATTGACATCTTACAGAATAGCCCAGCTGTTGAGCGTATGAATGTGATTTAGTATATTAAATCGTGTTAGTTATATACCTACTATGTATTTAAAGGGTACTTATTAATTTATCATGTTAATAGTTATTACGGAATAAATAGTCCACTTTATAGCCCTGCACATTTGTTTTCGTTATAATAAAATTGTTTTACGGTATCAAAGTTAATTAAAATTTCGTTGTTATATTTCTGTTAAAGACAGCAACGTATTATTCTTATGAACGATCATTTAGTACAGCCGCGGTATTGACAAATATTACTTTTAATCTTAAATCTATAGGTGTAAGGTTGAAACTGGTGGTTAGTTGTTTTAGATCAAATAGAACCATTTTGTTTAGTTTCTAGTCCATTTCATGATGTTTATTGCTCCAGACGTTAGAAATGCTTAAAAGACGTCCCGTGTCAAACAGTCCTTATTAAATAAACGCGTTCGCGCTTAATACTGAATTCTTAAACAATTTAATCAATAGATAGATCCTGATAACGGTACGTAGAGATACCTACAAGAGAGGTGAATAGGTATTGAGAAAATTTATAGTATCTATTCAATCCTCGAATTATTCACCTGCTTTATTATGATTTCGACTACAGGGCCGAAAAGCCGCAGACCCAGAGAGAGCGCCCTAGCCTCACACCCTAATACATTAGGCGCCCCTAATTTCCTGTGGCGCCACCAACACTCTATGGACCGTTACATAGGTACGCGCGTTTCGCGGCGCCCCTCTGTAACCTGTGCCTTTAGCCAAACTTTACTTTAGAGCTTGTCTACGGAGAGAGTAGAAAACTAAATGTATGCCGGGGATGACACTAACGAGTGTCAAAATTTACGTCAATTCCATATAATTTGGGTTTTTAATCTACATGTAGATAAGCGCTAAATAGCATTTGGCTACAGCTGTTGGCGCCTTAGACCTAGTTCGTCTTAGATCACGGCTCACGGCGGAAACTTCGTTGATTTTTTTTTGTATTTGTATAAAATACTTACCGCATTCCTAATTACGATTTGAACCTCCACTAATATAACCTTTTTATTTTGGTAGCTCCAAGGATTAGACTAAATTTCATGTACCTAAATAGTGGTATTCTATGTTATGTTTATTGAAGAAATATGATGGTAGCGACCAATTTTTGTGACTTCAAGATTTGTATTCTACACATTTACGTTTACAATGAATAAATTATGAGTTTTAATAGTTGTGTTACTTTCCTTCCGATGACTATTTAAGTTTGTTTATATTTATTATGTTATTCTTGTGAATATACAAATTATACCGGTGTTGTGACTGTATCTCTAAATTGTAGTTTATATTAATTTTATTACAATAAACTGGTGATTTGGGATCTCTTGTTTTATTTATTTATTGTTCTTACATATATCTAGTTGAAGGATGCTAAAAAGCAAGTCATTTTCCTATGCAGTATTCTGTGATGCAAATTCTAGTATAAATATAGACGCTACATGTATTTTTCAACATACCAAAGATATTAATTATGTTACACAATATCAGAAGATATTAGTAAAGTTAACGCATAGTTTTAAAATAAAACAATAACATTTGTACAATACTTTTATTTCACAGTAAAATCTCAATCAAAACTCACAAGCATCCTTAACCAGTTGTGAACACAAAACAAAACCTAAATAACACTAACAAATACCTACATTATTATTGAACTTGCTTTACTCCACACTACTCCCGTTTGCCAAGTTAACAGACGTCCTGATGGCGGATCGATTTTCAAGCACATTATGTATCACAGCCCAATGCACGTACTTGGAAAATTTAAGGCTTTGAAAGTCGAAAGAAAATTTATTCTAAGATGAAATAATTACAATAATAGTTTCTTTGATGGGTTGCTTTATAATTAACTTAACTGTATACTACTGTAGGTCTCTCAACTAGAAGGAGCGCGGTATACACCGCAGTAGTTCACTGATCGACGGACCTCAGTCTGGCAAGACTCATGTCCGATTGCTAACAAATGGTGAAATGTCGCATTGTTTCATTATTCTACTAGCTACATTGACGCAAGGCGTTTAGTTAACATTAATTAATCAAGTTCTTACTTTAAATTTCTTAACATACAAATTACTTGCAAAGGATATTTCGTTAGGGTACCTAAAATAAATATTAAATTAATCATTAAATGGAAGTCAGGAGCCTTACGTCAATGCAGCGTTGTGTCGATCAAAGATGGAAGTTTCCATGATTAGCGAGATGTAGAAAATATATTCAGAAAATATATCTCCTCTCTGAGAGTGATGATGTTTATTCGACGTCTTCCTCCTGGAGCATCTTGCCGCTAGCCTTCATGGAGGCTCGGAGCCTCTCCGACACTTCCGGCAGCTTCTTCAGCAGCAGGTGGAAGATCGGGGCGGGCATCGTCTGTTGCAATACCTGGAAACAACAAAATATTATTTCAATTGCTAGATATTTTTGAGACAAACAATTTTCAGTAAGATTAGAAAGCTATCGTATTTGTGTATATTATTGAAAGAGTATCGTAATGTGCGTGTGGCACGAGAGCAACCCAAGTACATATTTAAACAAGTCAGTTCATAAACCAAATCGTATGAAATATGTTTGTTCTGGTGTTCAAAACTGTAATGGAAAGCGAAAGCTGAAAATACGAAGCTATAATTCCAACCAAATAAAATTTATTCATGAATGATAGCTGTCGCGGAACATACTAAATTAATAAAAAATAACGGCTTAGTGAGTACTTACACCGAGGAGCTGCTGCGTCTGTCCGCAGACAGCGACAGCCTGTCCCAGGTGCTCCACACCGGCCTCCAAGTCGCCGGCCGCTAGCAACTCCTCACCAAGTTGAATCTGAAATTATTTTATAAACCCCATTAATATTGCAAGAGACAACACAATTTATAATACTTCTAATGTCTAAAATCCTATTTCTACAAGTTCAAATTATGACAGTACTTTAATTTGACACATTTTATTTTTAAATTCTTCATTATCTTGACTTTAAATTAGTACTCAAAAATTTAAGCCCAAATAAAGCTAAACTTAATTAAGCAAAAAAACAATGCAAGTTAGACTTGAACTTTTTGAGATTGAGTTTCTGCTAAAATTTCGATTCATCAATAAATCGAAATATTATATTTTTTGGAAGGGATAACTGTAGTTTTGTCTAGATGCTAGTTACTGATGTTGCCACTGAAAATGACGATTTTATGTTTTATACAAATCTTGGTCCTAATGATATTAAATAAGAATATGGCAAAAGGAATATCTACTCCGGTTGAGTAGTACAGAAGTTACGCGCATAAAGGATGTAGATAGTCGGAACGCTCCCGAAACGCTTTTTTATATTTGATGGGCCTATGTTTGTCCACTATCCCGCCTGGTGATGATGCGGTCTATGCTGGAGCACGTCGATCCATATTTACTCGGACCTTGAAGACACCCAGGTTATACCCTTCAGGAAATACAGACTCTAGCGAAGAATTCCACTTCTTAGCAGTACGCACAAGGAAGGTTGATGCGAATCGCTTCGTGCGTGTGGATGGGACATCTACAATGAATCGGTGAAGCTTCGCCGATTGTCTTGTGGTACGATGATGGCATGACAAAAGAAATTGTATGTACAATTCTAATCGTTTTTGTTTTCGTGTTATTTATAAAACATCAGCCTTGAGCAGTTGATTTCAACTATTATTACATAAAGAAAAACAAACATTTAATTCCTAACTTTTGTGAAAATAATCTTATTTTTTACAATCACCTATATTTTTTGGAGGGCGTTCCGTTTACACCCTGTATACATACATTATTATTTATTACTAGCTTCTACCCGCGGCTTCATACGCGCAATCCCGTTTCTCCCGTTCCCGTAGGATTTTCAGGACCTTTTTTGTCATAAGAACCATCTTCTGACAATAATAAACGCAAAAAAAAAATCAGCCAAATCGGTCTAGCCGTTCCGTTCCGTTCTCAAGTTATGGCGTGACAACGGGAAACGGGTTTCATTTTTTTATACATATAGAAAGAATAGAATACACACCTGTTGCAGGAAGAACCTTTGCATAGCCTCATGGTCGCTCATGTCCGGCAGAGGACCGCCCATTGTGCGGGATTGCGTAGCATTCTGTTGGGCCTTCTGTCTACCTATATAGGATAAAGAATAAGTGTTAAAGTCATTCTTTCATAAATAGTCTTAAATTAAATACATGCTGAATGAAACATGAATTTGAACTAGGTACTTTTAAAATCACTTTTTATTCAGTAAAGTGTTCTATTTATTTAAAAAAACGTGCCCTACACTAGGATTTTCTCCCATGTCGTGGGTTCATTGCGAAATTAGTTCACATACACATGACACTCAAACCCGAAACAATCAAATTTCTTTATTGTGGATCACAGGTTTGTACATAATTCAGGTAATAAATACATTTATTAAATACTAGCTTCTGCCCGCGACTTCGTACGCGTAATCCCATTTTTTCCCGTCCTCGTTCGTGATTTTCGGTAAAAAGTAAAAAAAAGTATTGGTTAAAAAGTATCCTATGTCGGTCTCCTGGCTCTAAGCTACATCCCTACCAATTTCCAGCCAAATCTATTCTGCCATTCTTGAGTTATAAATGGTGTAACTAACACGACTTTCTTTTATATATATAGATTTTAAATTAAATAAATTAAAGGTTTATTTCGCGGCGACCGCTTGCCCAGCCACCGTGCCAACCATGCAGTCGACATTTGTGGATCAAAAGTCAAAAGATGAACATATAACACACACTTTCTGAAGGATTAGCATAGCAGTTAAAACCTTTTTATATGCTGTGTATGTTGGTATGTAATCCTTATCAATTATATCACACACTTTTGAGATATTATCACAGTTATATTGCTGATAAAGTATGAGAAATATGAATTATCATTACATCATGTCATAAGGTAATTTATGATTTACATCATTTTTAATATTGACTCAGATCCTTATAAAAAATCTTCGGCAACATTAGTTTTAAACCTATTGTTCAACCAATCTATTTCACAAAAACTATATTACATTCATAAGAAACATGTTGCATTTTGCCTCTTTTCACACATTTTTTACATCTGTGGAATGAATGGTACAATCGATGCATAGACATTTTGTGGCACAAAACCTGCCTGTACAGTTAGCTGTTGAACGAAATACAGACTTTTTTACTTTTTGTACTACTCGGCAAAACTACAATTATAAATAATTCTTTTGATCCCATTTTGAGTAAGTTCTGAATTGAGAATCTAACTTATTTACTAACTTTTGTATGAAATTGTAATAGGTAGGTAATTATAACACCAAGCAGTCACCAGTGACCGCAACCTATTGTTCTATAATTGTGTCTATAATGATGGTACTCGACAAGTTAAATTACAGTGACTTATGTGTTATCCACGAAAAAGTAGATCCTGTGCCAGTCTTTTGATTTTTGTTGCTACAATTCTTTATAGAGACACAAACTAAATTCATTTGTATTTATAGACTAAAAAGTTTTTATTTTTGTGTCATCCTAAATCTTGCTTCTGTATTATGTCATTATAAATCCTGAGTTAGGAAGTCATTGTCATTTGTCAAATCAAGTATTCTCAATAAACATTTTTCCAAGCAAATTTTACCAATGTTTGACGCCAACCCCAACTATAAACAAGGGTTGTTGCTAAAACTTTAATTACTATTATTACCATCAGTAGTGACTTTGTCATGCATACATTATTATTATGCAAAATGTATTGTACATAACACCTGAACAAATACTTTATTTTCAATAAAACTTATTTCCAGTAACATTATAAAAACATATTCTTAGTTCAAAAAAAATGTATTTTCATTGAATATTTGTATAGTTAATTTCTTAACTCGTCGAGTACCGCCATTATAGACAAAATTATAGAACAATAGGTTGCGGTGACCGGTGACCACTTGGTGTTTGACAGTTTAATTTGCTAAATGGTGGTAAACTAGAAACCACAGGACTGATTCAAATACATGGCATGCATGCACAAGAGATACAATGCATTTTCTATTGTGTTGGATATCCAGGCAGTCATGTGGTTAAGAGCTTGAATGTTATTATTATTATGGTTTTACTCATCTATAGTTTTGGGAGTTTTGATTAGAAAGATTCTTTAACTTAAGGTTAATTAAATGCAAACATGATAACTTCCACAATCAGAAATAGTTCTTAGAAACGTATGGAAGCCATAGATAGCCCATAGCATCCGTAGTTTATTCAAGACAAAGAGATCACAGGGTAAAAGTTTTGTATGAGGTTAGATTTCTACCCTTAATTACGAAACTAAACTTCATGACGGAGTATCGTTATGTAGGTACACGCTTACATATGAGAACGGCAATACGGCATATTTATGATAGTTTTAGATCATTGCAAAAGCGTGTTTGGCACAGTTAATCAAAAGCGGCTAATTTTATGATACTACAGCTGCAGATATAGTTACGATGTAGTTATGTATAATTTATAGTTATAACGCACTGCGTTTTTATTATCGTTGTCTGTGATGCAGCGGGCAAGTCAAACAGTTATTCAAGCGAGAATTGATTGATGCATGATGTTGTAACGATATTCCTTGTGAAATTTTTAGGTTAACAAAAAAACTGAAATGTGTGTAGCAGTAAAGTTATTCTACTTCATGAGTTATAATTGGAACATGCAACACACCAAAACATGCTGTTTTCATTGAATATTTAGAAAAACTTACGTTCTCTCAACTTCTTCTTGAAAAGAGGATCCTTGCGACGTTGTTGGTCAAAATACACACAATATCCAAGGAATAAGGTACCAGCTATTCCAACTGCAATTCCTAAAGTAGTGCGCGTAATCTCCATGCTTATAGATTCACCTGCGTTGTTTTATTCACAGAAAATACCAACTCGCTTTTGTTAGAGAATTTTGAGATCCGCCATTTAACAAAAAGGATTTTGTAGGTGGTAACACTTTTATTTTCCATTTTTGATTCACAGATAATATATTAGCGTATTACGTAACCGCCTATTTTATTATAATATAAATTTTAAATAACTTATTTATTTAAATAAGAATATAAACGACATAATAAAGTGTTGAAACTATAAGAATAATTGAGACAATAAATAATATGTTACATAAGAAAGTATAAAATAGTGAAAAAGGACCTTTAGATATTTTGAGTTGCCTCATCAAAATTTGTCATATGTACACATGACTGAAATTCAGTATTTATAAATACATTTCCTATTCTAATATCAAAAATAACTATTTATGCCTAAGGACCCTTGTAAGAAATTCGCGTGTGCCATCCAAAAATGCCTTGCTGGTGAGTTTTTTCATTATAATTTTATTTATGAACCTGTTCGCCGACAGCCGACATAAAATCAGTCGCCATCTTTGCTTCAACCTTTCAATCGCCTCCACAGATTTGCGGGCGTTTCATCGCCGTTTTTCAATGTTTTGCTCAAATAAATCGTTACATTTTTGTTGTAAAGCCACGTAAAAACTTTGCGATAAGTTGTGTAAGTGATAAGTGCGAAAATGAGCTTTTTCGGGTTCGGACAGACTGCGGATATTGAAATCGTATTTGATGATGCTGACAAACGGAAGGTTGCCGAAGTGAAAACGGATGAAGGCAAAAAGGAGAAGTTATTGTTGTATTACGACGGAGAAACTGTTTCGGGTAGAGTGAACGTCACTCTGAGAAAACCCGGATCGAAACTTGAACACCAAGGTATCAAGGTCGAACTTATAGGTCAGATCGAATTATTTTACGATAGAGGTAATCACCATGAATTTATATCGTTAGTAAAGGAGTTGGCACGCCCCGGTGACCTGTTACAGCATACCTCGTATCCATTCGAGTTCGCCAACGTTGAAAAGCCCTACGAAGTTTATACGGGCGCTAATGTCAGACTGAGGTACTTCTTGAGAGCTACGATAGTCCGCCGTCTCACAGATGTCGTCAAAGAGGTGGACATCGCCGTCCACACGCTATGCAGCTACCCCGACGTATTAAACTCGATTAAAATGGAAGTAGGCATTGAAGACTGCCTACACATAGAATTTGAGTACAACAAATCAAAATACCATTTGAAGGATGTAATTGTTGGTAAAATCTACTTCCTACTTGTTCGTATTAAAATTAAACACATGGAAATATCAATAATTAAAAGAGAAACAACAGGTTCTGGGCCTAACACTTTCACAGAGAATGAAACAGTTGCAAAATATGAAATTATGGATGGAGCCCCTGTTAGAGGAGAAAGCATTCCTATAAGAGTGTTCTTAGCTGGTTATGACCTGACACCAACAATGAGAGATATAAACAATAAGTTTTCAGTGCGGTACTACCTAAATCTTGTGTTAATGGACACTGAAGACCGCCGCTACTTTAAACAACAAGAAGTGACCCTATGGAGGAAGAGTGACAAGTCTAGACTACCCTTACATAATGCACATGTTCCCCAAACACTGTCTCACCCAAGTCAACAAATGCCAAGACAACTGAGTGCATCTAGTGAAGACAACTCCAACAGAGCAATATCTCCTAACAATCCCAACATAATGCAGAGATCCATCTCACCATCCATGAATGATGGAGAGAAACAGAATGGACCTTCTGAGATGGAGCAGGAACAACCTGATGTGATATCTAATAAACTGTCCAATACGCACATTGAAAATAATCAGACGGATGAAGAAGTTGATGATGAATCTGCCCCCATTTTGGAGAAACAAATAATACCAGAGAAATCACCCCTTGCTGAGAAACCTCAAGTGGCAGAGAAGCCAGTGATAGCGGAGAAGCCAGTTCTAAACCGGCCTGAAAGTGAAGCTAGTCCAAGTCAATAGCCGATATGTACATGCGCGGTCCACTTGACAGGCGCTGAAGATATGAACTATATGTTTTCATATTTGAAAACTATTATTTAATGGATTGTAGTTATATTGACTTTTCATTTAGTCATCAGACATAGTTTGTGGCCTACAGTGAAAAGTTGGTACAACTGTGTCCTACACAGAAATTGTTGTAGAATTCAGGATTTCTATTATTAAAATGTTGGAGCTGTATAAATGGAAATTATTGACATAGTGAATATTGTCAGCATTAAATGGAATATGGGCTCTAATTGTAAATGTACAATGCTGTCATTGCAAGTATAGCTGATGGATTATCCAGATATCCGTTATGATGTAAGTTAGTTATCAAAATTGTACCTTATTGCAGCAATGTAAAGAGCATTTTAGTAGAACATCAATCATATGTATCTCAAGCCATTGTTTTTGCATGTAAGGGCTTATTATTTTACTCAAATAGAATGTGCTTGTTGAAACATATTTAAAACAGTGAAATGCTTTTAATTGAACTGACATTTTTGAAATATGAACTCAGGTCAGTAATGAATCACATGAACTATGCAAATTGTTATCATTTTAATTGAAATGTATATAAAAAATAATCCATCATTGAAAGTAGTAACATTCTAGGTACCTATTTAATATCAGAGCACTTATCAAACTGGTTCATTGTTGGTTAAAGCAAACTTATCTAAAACTCACATTGAATTGTGTGTAATTTCATTTATCTGTAATTGTTGAATATGTTAAATATCTGAAGCTAATAACGGTCCATTTAATGAATAGGTAGTAATGAATATACCATTCATGTAAGGATATTATTTGAATTCTTTGTTATTACAGCACACAGAGTAAAAATGTATTTATTATAGAAACCAATGAACTTATAGAATTAAAATAACTGTAATTTTACAGTGACAAAAATATTAATTTTTATACAGCCTACAATTATTTTATGTAAGTTGAATTAGTAAAATACATATAAATGTTATTAATTTGATCACTGTCCTGTGCAGTGTGCAGCTTTTTATTCTCACATACATTGTCATTTATTTCATTTCGCACTTCGCAACAGAAGATTGTTTTCATAGAAAATTATCAAAAGTGTGATTATTGATTATACATAGTGTGTATATTAAAATTAAAAAGATGTATTTTAAGAATATTTGGGAAGTCAAAAATGTAGGTGTCGGAAATAATTTGCAAGAAGTTATTTTTTTTATTGTGTAAAAATTGCTTCATAATATATTATTAAAGTTAAGTTTTGCAATATTTTGATGATTTAAAATTTTTAGCGCCTCAGGATCTGCCATTTTTTATCATATTGTTACAAACATAATTAATTTAACAATAATTCAAGAGTCTGATTTTAAATATGTATTATTGTAATGATTCCACCAAAATTGTTTTACAATCGTAAACTTTTACTTTGTAGAATTATAATACGTATTATATACAGCCACATAGGGAGACGATTCAAATCAAGTTATAAGTAGGCTTCATAACATTTGAATTTGTTAAAATGTTGTCAATCAACATTTTTACAGAACTAGTAAAGTCGCGCGCGGTGCCATTGTTTTTATCAGAATTCATTATTTTACTGGTTAAAATTTTCTAAATCCAATTAATGTGTGATTCCTCTAATTGAGGAAAACGTAATATTTTGTTTTAATTAATCACATTTATATGAATGAACATCAAGGATTGATTATACTGATGCTAGATTTCAGTAAAACAAGCTAAGTTAATGTTCCCTGTTATCATGAAGCTCTGTCCATTTTAATAAATATTTTTATTAATTCCTAGGTCCAAGACGGACCTGCTAACGCTCTTTAGAAGTGTAATTTTTATTATATTATAAAAAGTGATTTTTTAAAGCAATTTAAAAGTGTTTGGGCTTTGTTATTTGTACATATCATTGCATTGTTAAACAATGCACGACCATAGATTGTATCTACATCAATTTATTTCAATTGAATCCGTAAAGAGAACAGTTAGTACCAATTGGAGGTCTGTCACCGTATTAGGGAATTATTACGACGGGACCGTGTTTGATTCCGGCGCGAACGAAATAATATTGCAATGAATATTTTATTATAGCTACTATAATAGTAACGTGAATCTAACAAGACAAATGTCTGTAAAAAGTATACTAAATATCTATTGCGTATTTAATTAGTTTAAGTTTAAAATGTTTTACGGCCGATGGGCGCATGGAATGCCTTATTGTCAGATGCAAGGAACATCACCATCTCATTTGTTGAAGGTTCTTGTGCTGTCCACGGATAATTTATGTAGAATATATCCATTATTTTTATGTAAATTAAGTAAAGTTACAAGTTATTATAATATTGTGTTATATTAATAATTGTTTGGTTTTAGTATCACACTGTATAATATAGATATCTTGTTTCTATTGAGATTAAGGCGGCATGTCGATTGTAACATTATTGTTAATAAAATATATATGTATAAATTGCTGAAAACGTTTTTTTATTGAACACTAATTGACCATGCTAGGTCTTGTAGCAGAAACAATTAAAAAATATAGACTCGCGTAATGTTGACGATTATTACGTAATGAAAATGAATGAAGGAGAATGGTTCTTGTATAGAATTTTAGTGAATACTACTTTATCAATAAAGTATTAGTTGGTGTAAGTTATCAGGCCGGAATGTTATTTATATACTCAATTACTATGTATGGTTCATCGTAAGCTGATTACCTAATAAGGCATTGACCCCTGTAGCCAGTGTACGTTAGACATTAGTAGATAACGAACATTGAGTCTTACAAGGCAACAGAATATTCACCCATGTTCTTACTTAAACATTGGAATAATTACGTAAGATTACTCAACTCATTGTTTTAGTAGGGGGAATCATAATAAACCACCGCATCATCTACCTACTTATCTATCTTTGCATAAGCCTACATAGTCTACTTCTTAACGTTCATGAGATTCTTGCATATACCTAGGTCTTGCCTAGTTATTTATACCAGATTTACTTTCAATGGTAACAATACCTATCTATGATTCAGACAGTCGGACTACCATTTTTTTATTGTTATACCCGTAATCAATATCGTTAGGTACAGGCCGCCCCCTTTTAGATAACACATGATAGTGTAGCCAGGCAGTTGTAGTTTTCGTAAGTTGTTTTAGATGTGGGAGGAGCCACTTCATAATTATTTTCCCCCTATAAAAACATGTTCCCCTCTAGAACCTATCTGACTTCGGCGAATACCTAAGTTGTTATGTCATGTGTCAACCACATGGAGTCAGATCTCAAACGTTGATTAAAGTGATACCTGACCAGTTAAGTAAACATCAGGTATCGTTACCATTTCCAGTCAATATATAATATGATCTGATGGCATATGACAAATGGCTTGATCATGCATCTTCATACATTAGTTAGGAAAATACCGATTTGCGGCATAGCGGTCACGTTCCACCGTGCACTGCACAGAGATCCTATAGGAAAAAAGCTAGGTGTCCATAGGGAGATGCCGTAACAGGCGTAGCACCGTGGGGACTCCGGGGCTGGGCTACTAAGAGGACCCGGTGCAAATAGTGGCCACCGGGGAAGTTTTACTGAGGTAAAAATCCCACACTCATTCCCCTAGTCTTTTTCCACAAAAAACTACACACCTTTTGAACGTTTCCCCCCTCAACAAAAATGATATGTACCTACCGATATTGTGTCAGTATTGCATCATGACTATGATGACATACATCGCACCAATTATGACGTTGTGGTGAAGTGGAAATTATTTGCACAGCATTTTGCACGCAAAAGATGCGCAATGCATTTAACTAGTAGCCTATAAATCTACTGGCAAAACGGTTATGTTTAAAGAACCTCTAATTTTTACAGATCTGCTGCAAGCTGCATCGTTAACTCTTCGGTTAGTTACATAATATATTCAATCTAAGTATACACTAGGTACTTTCATGCTAAGCTCACACGTCCAAATGTCTGGATATAGGTATATGTTAGGAAATATTGACGGAAATTAAACTTTAGTCGGAGCTACTGATAGAAGCAAATGAAGAGATAATTCTACGTATGCAGATATACATGCAGATACTTCTCAAGCGACCGTGACCCACAATAAGTCAGTCAGGGACATAGTACGTTGGAGTGGGTAGCTTCACAGGCTATTGGAATAGCAAAGCTTTGTTATCGGCCCGTGATTGTATATGTAGTCTATAGGTACACCTACACCTTATCAAAGTGAAATTTTATGTGTTTTAGTAGTTCGTTTCTAGAAAGTACTTAATTGGACACATACCTACTGTCATTTATTAGGCCCTTGACTGTGGTCTATACGAATACTAACTAGACACAGGTAAGGCTTAAGTAAAGTTGTCAATGCGTACCTGAACCAGGAGAATTTTAGGAAATAAAAGTAAGAGGCTTGATGCCAGCACAGTCTAATAGAATGGAATAATAGCTCTTTCGTATCGTTAGAACAGACTAGGTATCACAATTTTATTCATAGAGACTACAGGCAGTGCTCTCATAATCTAATGGCTAACGCTTTAATGAATATTTTTAATTGGTTTTTGTTCTTTTTTTTTCAAAAAACAAACGTTGCCTCACACTATGATTTTCTCCTGTGTCGTAGTCGTAGGTGCGTTTATAAACATACAAGTTCACATACACATCACACTGAGACCCGGAACAACAATATATGGATCAGACAAAGAGTTGTTCCGTGCGGGAACCGAACCCGGGAGACGTTGCGCTGTAGCGCAAAATACCTACAAATAATAGGCACTTTCTGTCTTCAACTTGCAGTCAGGTCCAGATTGAAAACTAAAATTGAAGATATCTTCAGCAAATTTATTGTCAATCATACTATGCAAAATGTACCAGCCTCAAGTATTTATTCAATAAATTATTGTTAAAACAGAAGCAAGCAAAAACAAGTACTTAGTTTGCTGACCTCTGAGCCAAACCCCCGTGAGTGACGTCCATTCGAACGTGTTCTCGTTGACGTAAACAGTTTTTAACGACTTGGCAACGAGATTAGCTGATCTTGATGGATGTGTATGAATTTTAGGCACAACTACGTAATAAAAATACTGTTGCTTGTGACAATTTGAAGAATATTTTAAAATAATGTTTTAAAACATCTGTTTAATTTTCTCAAGCAATAATTCATTATCAGCCAGAAGATGTCCATTGCTGAAAATAAGACTCCACTTTAGTCTTTTACGCCGTTTGCGGAAACTGTAGCCGAACTAAGAAATTATCCTTAATAGGCGCTCAACACATTAAACGCCATGGGGTCACTGGTGACCGATGTTAGCGGAGAATCTCCGCTAACATCGGTCACCAGATAGAAAACTGTTGAAAGCAAATCTCCGCCGGAGATTTGCTTTCAACAGTTTTCTATTGACAGTCAAAAGCTTAAATGTTGTCTTCTTCTTCAGCACACACTACATTTAAGGTTTTGATTCAGCTAACAGCATCCAAAAGAACTACAATAATATTTAACTAAAATATTGTAATTTTAGAATGGGATATTTGCTGGTGAGTAATTCCCAGACGAATTTGTAGGTTTTCCATATTGTGGTAAATCATACTACATTTTCTAAGTCTAGATATACGTAGTAGAAGTACCTAACCTAACCACAATGACCGCAGGCTCATTTCCCCGTAGTACTTATTCATTCCTTCGAACTATAATTATTGATTCGGTTTTGTAATTACTGTCTTGATGGTTGGAGCTAGATAGAAGGTTTGTCTCAAGTTCGATTCGTGGAAGGCTGTGGATCTCTGTCTACTATCTACTTACTATATGTAATTAGTACAGCAGGTAACCTATTACCTACTGGGCTAGTACAGAATTGTGCTCTTACGTTATGCCATGAGAGCACTTTTTCTAGGCGATTGATTTATTGTGGGGTAAAGTTCGACCAAGCTCTATGGAGAGACTATTGGATTGGTAGGGATGACTTTACCTTGCAGTGGCGTTCCACTGCAAGGTAAAGTCATAGTTTTTTTTTGTAAAAGTATGACCAGAAAGAAAACAGTATTCATATATTTTACACGCAGTGCCATAAACGTAAACAGCTGACAACCATCGTCGCGTCCATTTCATACGATGTATAGGTATGTCGGAATCTCTGAACACGTGACGAGATGAGTGTGACGACTCGTCAATGAACGTGCGAAGCAAGGGGCGTATGTTTACTTCCGAACCAAATGTCACTACATCATGTAGCTGTATCGATATGGAATGATGAACATTCTAGAATTATAGGCGGTGTCAATTCTGTTTTGGTTTCTAATTTAGGATATGTATAACATAACGAACTTTTATTCCCAAAATTGGTTGTAGGTACTTACTCACATAGAACTTTATAAGGCAAGTCCCATGATGTGGGTACAGGAACCATACCTAATTACCAGTTTGATAAAAGAATTGATGATGTTTTCCTACAATTAAGTATTTTTGTACCTATTATATAAATGTGCATTGTGCTGATTTCCATTCTTATAATGTGTTTCTTTTTCTGCTTCTTCAAAGAGAACGACTTCCAAGAAGTCCGCTGCGATAAAGTATTTGAAGCGATGCGCCAGTGCTGCATTAAGTTCAAGCCGTTAGACGTGTCTCTTGTGTGCGAGGGCTACGACTTGGAACCGCGGAAGTACGCGCCGGTCACAGATAGGCCGGCCAAGTGAGGTACGGTATGTTTCTATCATAGAAGATTTAGGAAAAGTCTAAGGAAATCTGTATTGGATCGGATTACATGTCCTATAATTGAATAAATAAAAAATTACCATTTATGTGATTAGGTACCTACTTTTAACTTTTGGGTCAATACAAAATCGTTTTTTTTTTTTCAGATAAGCTATGGATATTCGTCGTCGGAGCCAACCTCTAGGGAAAAGAAGTTGGATCTATAGGTACCCCAAGACCTTCCAAATCACATTCGCTTTTCTGGGTCTCGGGATATTCTTTTCGAAGCCCATTTACGATATCTTCTTTCGACCGCGCGATCCGATCGACTTCACTGAACCACCCACCACGTTCTCGGTTCGCCGTAAAGTCGAGTAATTATGGAATCTATTTCTAAAGCTAAAGAAAGACTCGCAAAGTATCCCGTAGTGTTTGCTAAGTGTTCCAAGCAGAGTGTACTGTACGCACGCTGTGTTTTACTTAAGGAAGGATCGGTGAAAAAGGACGATTGTGCGAAAGAATTTCAGGAGTTCAAAACCTGTTTATATTCCGCCGCTAAGGATTTGAAGACCAAGATCTAGGATGAATCGTTACATGGAAGTCCTTAACCTGCCTTTACGCTACCATCTAGCTGCAGGTCTCTTTATAAGGCTATTTTTGATTGTTTACGCGGATTTTCACGATAACACCTATGATTTACCTTACACCGACATTGATTACTCCGTGTTTTCCGATGCTGCGAGGCACGTGTATAATGGAGACTCTCCATATAAACGGCAGACTTATAGATACAGTCCCTTGATATCCTACTTGCTGGTACCAAACATTATCTTCGGTAAAGACTTTGGCAAAATTCTTTTTTCTGTATTTGATCTGTTCATAACGGTCGCAGTGAAGAATTTAGTAGAACACCAGCTAGGCCCGAAGAGTGCTGCTACCAATGTGCCGATGTACTGTTCGTTTTTGTGGCTTTACAATCCGTTGAGCATAGGTATATCAACTCGTGGTAACGCAGATTCCGTCTCATGTTTCACTATCATACTTTCATTGCTTTTACTGCAAACCGATGTAGTCAAAGGCTTAAAAAAATATGCGTTATCAGGACTGTTCCTTGGCATATCAATCCATTTACGCTTGTACCCAATTGTATTTAGTTTTCCCATGTATCTAAGCTTAGGAGTCACCAAGATACCACGTCAGACCACTTTCAGGCAGGGAATGCTGATCTTATGGCCGAATGTAAGCCAACTGATTTTGGCAATGAGTTGTATAGTCACTCTATTTGGTCTCACATACAGTATGTATGCACTGTACGGCTACGATTTCCTTTATGAGACGTATATTTATCATGTACATAGAACCGATACTCGTCACAATTTCTCTGTACTTTTCTATTATTCATATTTGAATACGAATCAAGGGCTCGATATTGTGAAAAATGTTACTAATCTGTTCAAAGCTGTTATATTGTTTTTGTTGAGCATCAAGTATGGGCCAGACCCTCAGACGTTGCCGCTCGCAATGTTCTGTCAGACAGTGGTCGTAGTAGCTTTTAATAGTGTTATGACGTCACAGTACTTTGTGTGGTTCCTGTCGCTGTTGCCGCTGGTCGCTCACTCGTTCAGGATCAAGTCCTCGAAAGCGTTATTACTAGCCATCATCTGGGTCTGCGCACAAGGCGCGTGGCTGTTCTACGCGTACCTACTAGAATTCAAAGGTCGGGAAGTTTTCTTCCTTATATGGTTAAAAGGGGTTGTGTTCTTTTGTTCCAATATTTTTGTTTTAGTGCAACTTCTAAGGAGTTACACGGTTGGCTATGGTTTCGGCTTTGGTCAAGCCGCACATTTGAAAACACAGTGAATGTGATTTGTGTTAGTAAATTATTGTTTCTTATATTAGTTTGTAGCTTTTCAAAATATGAACATTGTAAAATAAAAGATGGAATTTGAATTTGTTGTTTTTATTTCTAACAAGAATTAACATTCGAACACTAAAGCAAATATATCACTAAATATTATTCATGACCCACTCTAAAGACAAAATATATCAACTTGTACATTATTCCATGAAAAAATAGAGACAATTCAATCTCAAATTCTTCCATGAATTTGTCACGAACCCCCAAACATATAATTTGTCATTACATAAAAATAATTATCTACTGGATGATAACTTACAATGAATCATTAAGTATCGTAAAAAGGAAAAGAAATGATAAATAGGTATTACTTTTAATACTTACAGAGCAGTCTTAGCTGAGGTTTTGTGTTTCTTTTGACATGCCATTTAGTTTTGGTTCATACATTGGTATGTCTAATACATTTTATCGAGATATAAAAATAAACTCGCTTTTTACATTTGTTATATGGCAATAATGACAATGTCAGGTACATTTTACTATGATTCATGATAAGCCTCATCCAAATTAGTGTCGTTCTATTTCTTGTTATCCAAATTGACCTTGGTAAGGTCCTCAGATTCTCCTTGCGACATGTTTGATAACTTCTTGCCGATACGCTCATGAACATCCAAATATTTGGCGACACATCGATCTAAACAAACTGACTCGCCTTTGCCTGAAATAGAGAAAAAATTATATAAGCACCCATTGTCTTTGGATCTTCATTATTTTATGGAATAAACTGGTTAACGAGCAGACGGATCACCTGATGATAAGCAATCGGCGCTGCCCATGAATACCCGAAACACCGGAGGTGTTACAAATGCGTTACCGGCCTCTTGGAGATTACGAATTTGAGGATTGATGTGGATTCGGAGATGGGGAGGGCGGTAATTGGGCCTCCACGAACCTCACTCGCAACACAAGTGTTGTTTCACGGTTTTCTGGGAGGTTTGGTATCACTTCGGCAGAGCCGGCCCATACGTACCGAACCATAGCTCTCCCGCACTTAAATCGTCATATTGGCACAATGACTTCCCGATTATTATGTAATTAGCTGATCGGATATTGCCATCCAAACTCTCTGCGATCTTAAATAGATAAAGGGGCGCTGCAGTGCGCAACGTTAACATCAGCTGTGTGTTATTAAATAATTAAAAATAGAAAAAGTTAATGTTTAGTGAAGGAAACTAACAAAAGTTGTAGTAAATATAAACTTCAAGTGATTTGACTATAAGTTACCAATTTTCTGCCGAATAATAGTGAAATAAAAACAATTTTGTGTGCATAGTGCAACGGACAATTGTTTTTTAAACTCGACTCGACCAAAACAACAGAAAGTGATTTTTAAACAAAATAAGCAAATACTTCGAGTGGGAACAACTTATAAAATACCAATACCTTACAAAGGTAGGATAATTAATACTTATTCTATTCAATATATAGTATATCTGCCAGTAAACAAATTCAAATAAAGCATCAAAAACGCGCTGTCATTCCCGACCAAGCTTAAAAAAGCGCCATCTATACTTCATAGTGAGCAACTACTGACCAACCAAGTGTTTGACGTTTAATCTCCCAGAAAGATATCGATCACTTGAGTTGGTTGCGTCTTGCATAAAGAGAGGGCGCTGTTACCAAAAATCAAAATGGAACCTAGAAATGCTGAATCGTTGTGTGCAGGATGCCTACAAAAACTACCGAACAAGGAAAAGCTTACTTGTAAATTGTGCAACAAAGGATACGATTTACAGTGCGCAAATATCGCCGTTACACGGTTCAACAAGCATATGACAATAGCTCAAAAGAAAGCATGGATATGCCAAGATTGCTGTTGTAAAATACCAAAAACTGGCAATGTAAATACCCCTATTCGAGCACCTATTAACAATGAAACACAAGAAATTCAATCACCAACCGAAGAAAGCAATGTTACTTTTAGAAAAAGAAAAACCAACTCCAGCCCGGCATCAACATCTTTCTCTCAAAGTTTGAGTTTTGTGGGTGATACCCAATACATGGAATATAAGGATACACTAACTAGTGTAAATGCAGAAGAGGAACTTACACTTAAGAATTTGAACGACATGATCACTATTAGCTTGCGGAATAATAATAAAACAATAATAGTGGAGTTACAAAACACTATCCAGACTGAAATTAACAAGGCAATTATCAAAATTAGGGAAGACATAGATATGAAGTTGAATACATTATCTAAGGAAAATGAACAACAACGAGACGATATAATAACAATTAACAAGAAGATAGAAGAACTAACCACTAATAATGAAAATTTAAAGCGGGAAATAAAAAGCTTATTAGCAACAAAAGTGGAAAAAACTTTCAATTGCAATGAAAATAATCGCAGGAAAATCGTACTCTACGGTTTCCCTGAATACTATAAGGAACCAGTCTACGACGAACAATATAGATTGATTGATATTCTTTACAATAAATTGAACATTGATCTCACGGATTATCTCGAAGAAACTTATAGGCTAGGTAGAAATTATAATAAAAACCGTCCATTAGTCATTGAATTAACCACCAAACGAATTACAAAATATATTTTAGAAAATAAACACTACTTGCAAGGAACTAGATTGTTTGTGTCAGAATTTTTGGATGAAAACGCGAGATCTCAACGAAAGGAAATGTACGAGGAAATGATGAAAGCTAGGAATAACGGATTATATGCAATAATAAGAAATAACCAGTTGATTATTGAGGGAAAAATAATAGACATACAAAAGGAGCGAAAATACATACACAATAACAATAATGTAACGCAAAACGAACAACACGAAACGCAACAATGTGTAGATGAAGAATACACTGACAACTATGGAAACCGTACCCATGGTACGTTTCGAAACCCCAGACCAACAATTTAATATTTTGTTCCAAAACATTCAAAGCATTAGCAACAAGCAACATCTTTTAGAGGCTTTTATCAATAACAAACCGACCATTAAAGCAGTCTGCATGTGTGAGACATGGCTCACTAGAGATAAATTAGATAGTTTGCAATTGAGTGGATGTAAAACTGTAGCATCATATAGTCGCCACTCTCGAAGTGGTGGCGGTGTGTGTATAATTTTAAGAGATGATATAGAATTTATAGAATGTTATGATATAAGAGATTTTACTATTGAATATTGTATAGAAATATGTGCATGCAAGTTACCAAAGCAAAACCTTTTAATTATAATTATTTACTGGAATAGAAGAGAGGAAGAACTTTTTCTTATACAATTAAAACAAATTATGCAATTTATTAATCATAAGTATAAAAACCTTAACGTCATAATAGGAGGTGATTTTAATATAAACATATTAGAACACAGTACAAAGGCAAACCAATTTATAAATCTTATGCTCGAATACAAATTCACACAACATATTAAACAGCCGACACGTATCACACGGACAACATCAACATGTCTTGATCTGGTTTTTACAAATTTTAACGACAACAAATTACACACAACCGTGGAGGAATTGGGATTTTCCGATCACTGTGGAACTATTGTGAATATGACATTTAAGCAAGAAACTAAAGAGCTCGTATGGTATACCATGAAAAGACTATTTAACACAAGCAACATACACAAATTTAAATCTAAACTAATCAATCAAAACTGGAATAATATCATAAAACCGAATACAAATTTAAATGAAAACTACCAGTCATTCCTTAGTACACTGCAAGACATTTTAAATGAATGTATCCCAGTATGTAGAATTAAATTGAAAACTAAACAGTACAATTACTGGCTAACTACAGGAATAAAACGATCTTGTAGAAATAAAAGACTACTTAAAATTTTATCCGTAAAAATTAATAACTCAATTTTCACTAAATACTATAAAAAATACGAAAAAATCCTAAAAAAATCCGTGATAACAGCTAAAAAATTACACTACATAAACAAAATGAATAAATCCACAAACAAAATTAAAACTATGTGGAATATTGTAAAAGAACGAACAAACAAAATATCGAAAAAGGATAAACAAAATATAACGTTGCAAACGACGAGCTTAGTAAGTGACCCTGTGCAGGTAGCTAATATTTTCAACGAATTTTTCGCTTCAATCGGGGAAAGTATCTCCCAATCCCAAACACCCGGCTTCAAGCGAACTCAAACACCAGTCATTAACCCTACTCAGAATACGATGTTTCTTAGCCCGGTAGACGGATATGAAGTAAATACCATCTTGAAAAATCTAAAAAATAAAACTAGTTTCGGCATAGACGAACTACCACCAACTCTTTTCAGACAGTGCGCGGATGAACTTACCTTACCATTTTTCAAACTGATAAATCAGTCGTTCGAAGAAGGCAGTTTCCCAGACCATTTAAAAAGTGCAATAATAAAACCAATTCATAAAAAGAACGCAAAGACAGACCCTAGTAATTATAGACCAATTGCTCTCCTGCCAACTTCCTCCAAAGTCTTTGAAAAAGCAATGTGTAGTCGAGTATATTCGTTCTGTGAAAAATACAACATTTTTAATGATTGCCAAAACGGATTCCGTAAAAATAGATCAACAACCTTAGCAGTATATAAGTACATCCAAGAAGCGTTAAACGCCATAAACAATAAACATTATGCAGTAGGAATATTACTTGATATGACCAAGGCCTACGATAGGGTGAGGTTTGATATACTGCTGCAGAAGTTGTATGGTATGGGAGTACGCGGAAAGGCATATGACTGGTTCGTGTCATACTTGAAAGGTAGGGAACATTTGGTTGAGTTAGAATTCTACAACAGTACAACAAGAGAAGTACAGCACATTCGATCAAAAGTCAGACCAATACAAGCTTCAATTCCCCAGGGAAGCGTTATAGGATGCCTACTTTTCCTAATCTATATTAACGACCTCCCCAAAACCATAGAAGGGCCGTGTGTCCTATTTGCAGACGATGTTTCAATACTCACCTCATGCCGATCGACTGATCATATCAACGAAAAACTCAACAACATTCTTAATAACGTAACTAATTGGATGACACAACATAATCTCGAAATAAATTTTACGAAGACCAAATTAATAACCTTTCACCCTTACCAAAAAACCCAAATGAACATTAATTTTAAATATAACCAAGTGGAACTAGAAACAGTTAATGAATTCATTCTTTTAGGCTTGACAATAGACACAAACATAAACTGGAAATCTCATATTCTCAAATTAAAGTCAAAAATCGCAAAGTTCTCATATGCCCTACATGAAATTAAAAAGACAACTGATTTACAAACTGCAATAGTTATATATTATGCGTATGCCCACGCTTGGTTCACTTATGGTATCATATTGTGGGGAAACAGTACGGATGCCCATTCATTGTTTATTTTACAAAAAAAACTAATCCGCATCATAGCCAACATAGAACAAACCAATAGTTGCAAACCTTATTTCACAAAACATAATATTCTCACCTTAATAAATATATATATTTTAGAATTGTGCAAGCTGGTTCGTAAATATCCAGATTGTTATAAAAAAAGAGGAGACATACAATCAAGCCACTCGCTCCGACATAAAAACAGATTGGACTTGCCTCGCTCTAACCTTAAGATGCACTCCTCTAGCCCCTACGTTATGTCGATAAAAATTTATAACAAATTACCAGAATACTTAAAAGAAATAGAAAAGACCAATGTATTTATGAGAAAATTAAAACAATATTTGATTAAAAAATGTTATTACACCATAGACGAATTTCTAAATGATAAATTGACTACATAATTGACTGATTTGACAAGCTAGTGTAAGCTAAAAAGTAAATAACTTAATACTACTGAAAAATAAACATTAATAGTAATCTAACGAAACGCCCTTCCTCTCTCCTACCAATTTTAAATGTTGCTGTGCCCGACAGGGTCCATAATTGTTACTATTTGTATTTTTCTAACCACCTGTATGTGTACATTATGGATGCAATAAATATTTGATTTGATTTGATTTGATAGATCAATTGTCAAACTGTGGTCTCGACGGGTGGTCTTTGGATATGCCATCAGTTAAGGCAATTCTATTAAGTCTGCTAAATAATCAATCAAAATAGACTAATATTAAAGACCAACCAACTCAACAAAGTTGGACTTTATTTCATAATCAAAGCAAAATTTCAAGTTTCTTTTTTATTAAATCATTTTTGATCCAAATTTGGCTTCAGAAACTCATTAATTAAGAAGTAATGTGTGATGTTGTGTAAATTAAAAAATATGTCTTACAAAGTTCAGTCTCTTGGTATTTAACAGGAATACACTTGCGGTGACACGCAGTCACCAGTCGGTTGTACATGTCTGACATCATCTCGATCTCCAACTCCTGTACAAGCTGCAGCTTGGCGGGATCCAGCATTGGTGACGACATCTTGCTTTCTTTTCTCTCTTAAAATAACTTCAATCAATCCTGTAAGTTAATATTGAAACTTAATTAGTTCGTTTTTGGATAAAAAACCTTGTAAAATAATATTATATTTAACACTAGCTGTTGCCCGTGACTTCGTGCATGTAGAATATGATTCCTGTTTAATCCTGAGGAAGCTTTTAATCGGGATAAATCCCATCACCTAAGTCAGCCCATACCCTGCCTGTATACCAAGTTTCATTAAAATCCATTCAGTACTTTCAGAATGATTGGCGGACAAATATCCAAACATGTGATTTCAAATAAACTTATTAGTAGTTCAAAGTTAAGATAATAATTATGGATCAGCTAAGTAGGTCAATTTTATGTGCCTTTCTAACAGCAATATTAAGTTTTAATCGACAAATTATAATTGAAAATATCACATTGTATCTTTATGACTAAAAATACAAATGCAATTTCTAAGATTTCCTTAATAAAGCAATATATGTGGAAGATATGTTGATATAATTGAAGAACACTTCTGCCTACCCTTCTGGGAGAATAAAATTAAATGTTGTTATGTTACTCACACTCACAGCTGCCTGTACAAGTCTGGATATTCTCCTTCGTTTGACTTGCGCATACGTTCCCTAGCTCTCATGTTCTCCAGACGGCGGGCATTTATTGAGTTCTTCGCCACCACAAATAACGATAAACTTGTCACAGTTACTGCCAACCTGCAAGGCATGCTCCGAATTATGATCGAAAATATTTATATTTAAATTTTTCAACAGACAGGTTTTAGTCGATAATAGGCAGACCATTTTGACTGAGATTCAGATGAAGATCCCGAAATATCTTTAGTCAACATAACACAGGGAAAATATTTCGTCATGAAAGCCTTTCATAGGGATTTCATGCAGATGAGGGATGAATAGGAAAGAAAAGAAATAAATAGGTAAATATACATGGCTCACCACAATTTTAAACTGTAATAATTAAACACAGAAAGGATATTGATTATTCAAGTAATTACCACGAAATCGTTATTTTCCCGAATTTTCCAAGCGGCATAATATATTCTCGTGAAAACTTCAGTAAAATTATTTAAGGTTACAATTTTAGTGTCACAATTTTTCACGTTACGTCATAGGAAGTTGGCGCTACTGTAGTTTCAATTGCAATGGCAACACTGCATTAGGATGCTTTTATACTAACCTGATTAATGATTATAATAATTTTATTCCATCAGTATAGAATAATGTTATTTTCGTTCTATGTATTCATTACAATACAAGGCAATAATACCCATATATCAGAAAATGTTTTTTCGAGCATTGAACTAATCACTCAGATCTCAATCAATTATGTATTGATTTTTAAGACAATAAATTTCCGAACGCAATTGACGCCGCACCTTCATTATAAAATCTAATAAGAAACGTCACGTCACGTCCTATCGCATTATAAGATTCACGTCAAATGTTCAAAACAAAACAAAACGTGGTTTTATCGAAATAAAAGTGCTCTTTAACAGTTAATATGCCTAAACCAACTAAATTACATTCCAAAGGAAAGTCCAACTCTCTCCAGAAACCATGTAAAGTTGAAAAAGACACATCCGATGGAGTCGACCCAGAGGAATCTGTGCGTCAATTTCAGCTTGAATTGTGCTGGTGTATTCAACAGTTAGAACGATCTTTAAACGAAAAGAAAGGCAATGAGAAGCAAAGTAAGTTTCTGTATTTACCAGGGATGCATAACTTTGTTATACATTCTTCATCACTTCATACATAATGATTTACTTAATTTCACCATTCTTGATAAGTAGCACACTACATAAACGCGACAGATCCAAAACAGTGAATACAGCACACAAAATTCCTGATCATGACACAATTAAAATATTATTAGTAATGCATTAAAATTATTATGCAATATATATTATTACCCTTATTGATTTGTGTTATTAACCTCAAAATATTGTTTACAAATGTTTTGTTATTTCAGTGCAAGAAGCATGGAAAGTCTTAACAGTACTAAAAAACAACAACCAGCCCACAATACGCAAGAGACAACTAATGCGAACACATTTCGGAGACTATAGAGCTAAAATGGCAGCTGAAGAGAAGAAATTAGCAAAAAGTAAGATTAAAGTAGTGTCCTAGATAATGATTTGATGCAAGAAGAGCATAATTAATGTCAGTTGAAATTAAATGTGTAATATATAAAATAGCTTTCCGCTAAAGAAAACTAATAAGTGTTTATAAACCAGCCTGATAATATGCCCCAAGATCTAAATACTGGGCTTTTGATATTATAATTGATTTGTGGAAGGTTCTTTACTAATAAGATGTGGAATTGTAAGTTATTGTATGATAATATTTACTTATTGGAAAATTCAGAAGAAGGAAGTCTTTCATAAATGGAGATTAATCTCGTGACTAAGTTATGACATGAAAGCCTTTACTCTTAACCTCTTGTAAATTGAGGTTATTTGTTTCCAGTGGCCAGTAAAATCAAGATATCAGATGTTCCTGACAAACCAAAAGCTACATTTTTGAGAAAATCTGCATTCTTGACAACAGGCAATGAATCATTTAGATTCAACTTCAATTTAGCTCCTGATCAATTAGATAATGACAAAATTGCTGCTGATAATGGCAACACTAGTGGCTGTAAAACTGATAGCGATACTAAAGTTGAACCTGATGTTGCCACTACAAAAAAAGTGAGTGAAGATAGTGCAAAGAAATTTAAATTTTCATTTACAAAATCTGAATTTAAGTTTAATTTTAATGTAGATAATTCTTAGGTTGTACTTAAAATATTTTATATGAATAATTCTGTACAAAACATTATTGGATTATAAGTGCTTGATAATTATTTATTGGTTTTATTGTACCTACCTTTTCAGAAGTCTACCAGACTATACTACCTAAGTCAAAAAATTTGGATTTGGAACTTTTATAAGTATCAGTCTATAGGTCAGTCCTCCAGTGAAGTCTAGTTTTTTTTTATACTTGTTGGGCCGACGTTTTACCACTAGTGAAGCTATTAGTTCGTTACAAAGTGTAGACTCTTTATATGAGTTTGTCTAAGGATAATAAAAATAAAACAATTTTAATCAGTCATCAGCACAGACTTTGATAATATCCCTTCACTATTAGCAAACCATTGTCATTTCGTATCCGTTTCGCACAACGGAAATCATCGAAGAAATTCTTTGAATTTAAAACTGAAAAACCAACTGGTACTTCATATTTGGAGAAGGAAATTGTCCATGTCGCAATCCCTACTAATTTATTGGATGTTGTGTCAATGAGGGCGCCACCTTCGACCCCATGATACTGAAGACATTTGTTGTTCATCTTCCTAAACTCCTGGTAGGTACACGAGTGATAGCAGGGGACGCGGAATATTTTATCCTTTTCATTATTTGTCAGGAATTTGGGACATATATCTAAACTCACGATGACGTCCAGTTCTGAAAGGTCATACTGCCTCTCCGGCACACTAATTCTGTGAAGCCACTGTAGAATAGAATTATTCGTTTTAATTGCAAGTTTATTTCAAACATGTGGTTAATTTCTTATTTACTGAAAATCGGTTTCGAAAAATATCTGTCCATAATATACAGGTTGTCCCTGAAGTCAACGATCAAATGGCACCAGGTGATCAACAAGGTTCCAACAGTTATCAGAAAATTATTAAAAATATATTATCTACGAAAAAGTACACCCCCTGTGCCAGTCTTTTGACTCTTGTTGCCTCAATTCTTTATCCTGAATAATGCTTCAGAAGCACTATTCAGGATAACGAAAACAAAAAAATAAAGAATCGTAGCAACAAGAGTCAAAAGACTGGCACAGCGTGTACTTTTTCGTGGATAACACATAAGTCATTGTAATAACTGTTGGAACCTTGTTAAGCACCTGGTGCCATTTGATCGCCGACTTCAGGGACACCTTGTATGTTGCAGGTAAAAAGTACTATTCACCACCAATACCTAATTACTTAAATTGGCTATTCGATGAACATAGGCCTCGCCTCTCGCCTTGTAGATCGCCTGTTTCGAAACACCCTGCATCCAGCAGCTTCCTGCGACACATATTTCTCTTCCTTATAACAACTTTACCTTCACAAACCTTTAAATTAAACATATTATAAGTATGTTACACATTGACCTGGAACAACAATTTATACCTACATAAAACTAACTAGGTCCTTCCGCGCAGTTCCACCCCTGCTGGGCGCCTTTTAGTCCTATTATACATATGTTACCGGCCAAACCCGATTTCAGGACAAACTAGTTTTGCCTAGGCTAAACTAGTTCTTCCTATAAGCGTTAGGATTAACTAGTATAGCCTAGTTCAAACTAATTTGTCCTAAGCCCGATAGGACAAACCAGTTTAGGCTAGGACAAACTAGTTGATCCTGATATAAATACGCACACTCTAGGATAAACTGGTATGACCTAGTCATAATATGATTATTGCGTCTATTAAAAAAAAACAATGTGACTGCCTCGTTGGCTGAGTGGTCGCAGTGCGACTGCCGGGCAAGGGGTCTCGGGTTCGATTCCCGGGCAAAGTATTAGTTATTTTATTTATTGAATATGCTTCATGCACAAAATGTACAAATACTTAATGCCGCAGGCGTTTTCTACCAGTCTGGCCTTTGGGTGATGCAGAGAAGAGTAAATGGTAGGTGCAATTACTGGGTATTTTTTTTAAACGTTGCCCCACACTAGGATTTTCTCCTGTGTCGTGGGTGCGTTTACAAACATACAAGTTCACATACACATGATACCCAGACCCGGAACAACAAGTTGTGGATCGCACAAAGTGTTGTTCCGTGCGGGAATCGAACCCGCGACACGTCGCACGTTTTTTTTAAATCTCAGTAGTAGCACAGACTCTGGAATTGTGCCCGGTATATGGCAATAGGCTCACCCCCTATTACATGGGACTCGTAACATAAATAGTGAAAAGTCGGTGTTACATTGTACAGTGGCATAATGTGCACCGCTGCCTACCCCTTCGGGGATAAAAGGTGTGATGTTATGTGATAAAAAACAGTATTATTTGTTATAGTACCTATGATTGTTTGTATTGCCAATTATTATCTATAACTTGTAGCGACGAATCATTATGATTTTAAATTAATAACAATTTAAATCATTATTGCTTCTTTTAAAAAACACTTATTATTTGTTATAGCATGATTGTTCGCATAACCAATTAACCATAAGTTTTAACGACGAATCATTATAGTTTAATAAAAATGATATTTTTTTCAATTACGGAGTATTTTATTCAATTTATCTATTTATTTCGACTTTCTAGATATATTAGAATGTTTAGACTAGGCCATACCAGTTAATCCTAGAGTATGCGTATTTATATTAGGATCAACTAGTTTGTCCTAGCTTAAACTGGTTTATCCTATCGGGCTTAGGACAAATTAGTTTGAACTAGGCTATACTAGTTAATCCTAACGCGTATAGGAAGAACTAGTTTAGCCTAGGCAAAACTAGTTTGTCCTGAAATCGGGTTTGGCCGGTAACACATATATTATCATTTATCGAGATAAACCATCATTAGGACTAAAGGCCTATCCAGCAAAAATAATTATTTTATTCAAAGTAGAAGTTTCAGGAATCTAAAAAGGTCGTTAAAACAAACTCGTTTGCTTTATATAGTTGTAAGTAGATATACATTGTCCTACCTTTCTCATAGCGTATCCAATGATTTTGTATTTCATGGAAGCATGTTCTAACTTTTTGAACCAATCGAACGCTTTATCAGTTCTGTTAGCTCCATTAAATGGTTTGATCACAGGCCACTTTTTAGAGTTCTTTGAGCGAACCACTATAAAACCTATGTCGTCGTAAGATTGTTTCGTTGGCACCGAAGGCACGACGAACGCTAAAGCGTCGTAGAACTTCGAGTTGTATAGAATTCTCGTGTAGTTTACTTTTAAACTGAAATACAATATTAATTATAATTATTTAAGACCTTTAAGTTCGACTAAGTAGTTACATATAGCTGGAGGAGCAAATTGCTGGCTTTGCAAGCCTAAGTAGCCACGACTTAGCGTGGCAAACTCCTAGTATGTAGGTACTGAATGGTCAATGCAGTGGCTGGGGAACTAACTGACCGCTGCGTAACGTGTAACGAATTGGATTCCCACATGAACCAACATTATGTTATTCACATATTGTTCGGGTTTTGGTGTAACGTGTAGGTTAATATTTAGGTACCTATGTTACTTAACACCTACTATTGTGGGCAGCATTTTTTAATCGACTTATTTGACCTGTATAGGTATGCAAGTTTGTCCGCAATTATCTCACGATTGGCTGGACCAATTTTGATGCGGTTTTCAGAAAAGTGTTTATTAGGTAAACTTAGGAGCAGATTTATGATAAAAGAAATCGAAAGAAAATAAAGAGTTGACGGCAGTATCATTAAAAGTACCTACTTACTTAATAAATGAAAATTATTTTAACGAGTAGGTACATACTTGTAAATACATCGGGCAGCAGTAACAAAGATGGCCTCGTCGATGCAGGCCGCGGTGCACATGTGCGGGACGTACGAACTCCGCGAGTGTATGACGCGCGCTATCCACGGGTACTTCGACTCACTCGTCTCAGTTGCATTCACTTGATAGTCCTCTAATGATCCAAAATCTAAAACAGTCCCGTTGCTTTTTATGTAACTACAGAGATCAATTTTACCTACTTTTTTTTTAAGGGGAGAAAATCATCGAATGACTGCTATCCCCGAAGGGGTAGGCAGAGATGCATATTAGGGCACTTTTCACTATTTATGTTAGGACTCCCATGTACCTAATACTGAGCACGATTCCAGAGTCCGTGATGTACTAATGAGATATTATAAAAAGTCCAGTAATACTTTGCCCGACTCGGGAATCGATCCCGAGACCCCTTGCCTGGCACTCGCACTCGCGACCATTCGGACAACGAGGAAGTCAATGTTTACAATCAAAGAAATTCGTAATGGCTGGATAGTATAAATAAGATCTAATTAATGGCTTTGACTGTAACAATCATAAATATATAAAGCCAAGAATACATTAGGGGACTAATGTCTTGCCACACGTGTCGCCAGCGACGTTGGGTGAAGTAGAGCGACGTTGCCGGACTTTGGTCGACATGTCTGGCAACATCAACGTCGCTGTGGACATAAGGCGCGCGTTGTCGCCTTATAATTAATATGTCGGGCGACATCGGCCGGCTTCGCTCGACATGTCGCCGATACATATCTTGGGACATTTGTTCCCTAGTGTCATCATCAACAGCCTATAAATGCCCACTGCTGAGAAAAGCCACTTCTCACATGGATAAGGTTTGAGCATTAATCACCGCGCTTGCTCAAGGCGGGTTGGCGATAACAAACTTATAATTACAAATTATAAGCCCAGGTTTCCTCCCGATGTTTTCCTTCACCGTTTGTGAATGGTGTCTAAATAATTTTAGAAAGCACATATTACTCGGAAAAAGTCATATTGGTACTTGTTGATAGGTTTTGAACCCGCACCCTAATGTACCCGTAAGAGAAGCGGGCGTCTTAAACCGCCGGGCCCACAACGTACAATCCAATACTATTGTATTTAAGGGGGCATTGTCCCCTAGTGTCTTAATTTTGCATTCGAGGTACCACGCTCTCGCTTCTGTAGTAGAAACAATTTTTTACCAATATTAAAAATTTCACCCAGTAACCACAAAAAAGAACCCAATTCCAAGTCTTAAGTGTGGGAGAGCCATGCTTCGACATGAATGGGACGGCTCGACCGGTGTGATACCACGGCCTCACAGAAGACCGACGAGAAGCAACGTTGTGTTGTGTTTTGTCATGTGAGTGAGGTTACCGGATGCCCAATTACCCTCCCCCCTTTCCCCAATCCCCGAATCCCCAACAATCCTCAAATTCCTAATCCCAAAAGGCCGGTAACGCACTTGTAAACCCTCTGGTGTTCCAGGTGTCCATGGGCGACGCCGATTGCTTACCATCAGGTGATCCGTCTGCTCGTTTACCGGTAAAAAACCCAATTTTTTATAGTAATCTTACAGCACTTAAATCAAGATAAAAATGTAACTCACACTGTAGTACGATTTTATTACTACACAACGAAATAAAGACAAAAGTAAATAAAATATACACGTGAAACATAAACATTTCTACCGTCACACAAATAGACAAAGGACACTAACAAGATTCATTTAAATTAAGAACATCAGAATTCCTTTCAAGCGGTCTCATGAAGTTCAAAGAATCCAATATGTGATTCGCACAAACAAACGCGAGCGTATAACTCCAAATAAAAAACTTCCAGTATTTCAACATGTCAAACAAAATAAAATAACATCTTTATATGATTTTTATATAGTTTTTATTGCATACAATGTTTATACAGTACATATTTTAAACCACATCGGTTCGCCTCATTCAGAAATATGATGAAAACACTTTATTTTTAATAGTAATACATTTTACCAATTTAAAATGCCAATTTCCTACATATATATTTGTTTTGAATATATTTTAAAACTCCATTTTAGTTTTAAAAACGAATTTTCTTCGTTTATACACGATTCGTAACTCTTGCTATGAAAGAGTATACATAGTTTCTATAACTAAAATGGGATTTGGTGTTTATTTTATAAAAGGCATCCACAGTCAGGAATGTTAGAAACGAAAAACACAAGTAAATGTAAAATAAAACTTATCAATTTAACAAGATTATCTAGTAACACATTTTATTTTATGTATTTCAATAAATCAATAATATTTTTTTCAATAACACTAAAATAATATAACCTTATTTAAGTCAGTTCATATTTTAGGGAGTGTCAATGGAAAATGAGCTTTATATGTCATCCGTTAAGTGTGTTATTTGACTGAAGGTGGAAAATGTCTCCCTTACAATATAAACCAACTACTACAATATTACTTTGACGACTGAAAAATTATGGTGACCTAGCATTGTATCTCATGAACGAATATATTATAACTGCACGGCTCCTATTGACTGTAACACGATATATGGGAAAAGGCTCACCCCCTATTACATGGGACTCATAACATAAATAGTGAAAAGTGGATGTTAAATTGTACAGTGGCATAATGTGCACCTCTGCCTACCCATTCGAGGATAAAAGGGGTGATGTTGTTATGTTATGCAACACAATAATAATTACCAAATTAGGACTAGTAAATCCGGACATTAGTGCGTTCAAACGAACTCTTCAGTTTTATACATTAAAATAATAAGTATAGATATAAATAGACAAACTGAGTTCCCAGCTGACACTAGTGACATATACCATCAAAGATACTAAAATATCAAAATATTTGACCTGCAAAACTATTTTTTTTTTACCAAGTCACCACAAAAATTCTAGTCATTTTAGCACACACTAAGACTTAGTTAAGTTGGAACTAAACGATCTCATACTTGTCGGGATGGAAGCTGATTTCTTGTGAGTAGTCGACGGGTGTACTGTCCTCAGCAAATGTCACCTTCGTGGCCTTCAGAAGAGCGAGGGACGTGTCCGATGTCCAGGTCACCGTCAGAGGGAAGAAGTCGTTTGGTATCGCTGGCGTCACCCTACACAATAACCATAAAATAATGATTTAATGAGATTTATTCTACCAGTCAAACCTTTACGTTTGATGTTCATAATGGAGGTATTGCATAGTCATCAGGATTAAAAGTGTGTACCGAATATCAAATCGATCTGTCGTCAAGAAAGGAGCAAAAGGGGAAGCCGTAAAATTCAAATTATTTGACACAAACAGACAAACAAAAGGGGCAATAGAAAATCGCATACAGCCAGCCGAGAATCAGTGTCAAAAAATGTTTTTCTTGTTTTCATTTTTAATTGTAATCCCTACATAGTATAATACAAAGTCGCTATCCGCCGTCTGTCTGTCCCTATGTACGCTTAGATCTTTAAAACAACGCAACGGATTGTGATGCGGTTTTTTTTTATAGATACAGTGTTTCTTCATAAAGGTTTATATATAATACATGCATAATATAGTAGAGAATAATAAAAGACGTTCATTAATTGCACCCGTGCGAAGCCGGGGCGAGTCGCTAGTTTAAAGTTAAACATAACATGTAAATTAACAAACAAAAACTTTTTAGCCTTATAACAAAACCGTGTAGATACAAAACGCGTTTAAATATATAACACGTTCAAATAATATTAATATTGACTACCTCGTTGGCCGAGTGGTCGCAAGTGCGATTGCCGGGCAAGGGGTCTTGGATTCGATTCCCGAGACGGGCAAAGTATTACTGGGTTTTTAATAATCTCAGTAGTAGCACGGAGTCTGGAAATGTGCCCGGTATATGGCATTAGGCTCACCCTCTATTACATGGGACTCATAACATAAATAGTGAAAAGTGGGTGTTACATTGTACAATGGCATTAAGTGCCGAAATGTGCACCCCTGCCTACCCCTTCGGGGATAAAAAGGCGTGATGTTATGTTATGTTATGACTGTAACTCAGTTCTTGACAAAATTCGTGATTTCGTGATTTAATGCTGATGATGTATATTCTTGTGAATATATTCATGATATAATTGACTGCATGGTAATTCGTCTGCTCGTTTACTGTTATATGCCATAAAAATGTATAAATTCCTTACGTGAACTCGAGGCTGCCCGATTTCTGTTGTTTGTTGATGATGGGTATGCTCCAGGTAAGGGTGCGTCCCTTCTGCGCGTAGCTACCTTCCCACTGGTGGACTATCACTGATGTGTTGCCAGAACTGTGGACATTGTACATGCATTGATCAAACAAATATACTTTGGAATGTCTGAATGCACACAATTTCAATGTAAATTACACAAAATTATTTTTTTAATTCTTTTTTTTATTTTCGTTGCCCCACATTACGATTTTCTCCTGTGTCGTGGGTGCGTTTACAAACATACAAGTTCACATACACAATGACAGTTGACACCCAGACCCGAAACAACAATTTGTGGATCACTCAAAGTGTTGTTTTGTGCGGGAATCGAACCTGCGACACGTTGCACCGCACCAACCGTGCAGGCTGTCAATTCAAATCAATACTACTGAAGATCAGCAGTACAAGAAAATACATTATTCAGATTTATTACTATAGATATATTAGATGACTGCCTCGTTGCTGCCGAGTGGTCGCAATTGCGATTTGCGTTCGATTCGCGTGTCGGGCAAAGTATTACTGTATTTTAAAAAAAATCTCAGTAGTAGCACGAAGGCTGAAATTGTGCTCGGCATAAATAGTGAAAAGTGGGTGCTACATTGTACAGTGACATTAAATGCCTTAATGTGTACCTCTGCCTAGCCCTTCGGGGATAAAATGTGTGATGATACTCGAATATTAAATGAAATAAATAATAATCTACATACGGTAGTGGGATATGTATATTGACGTCGCTGAGTGTGAGATGGTCGTGTTCCAGTTCGTACTCGATGTTGACGTCACAGCCGCCGCCAGCGCCCTCTGACGGCCAGCAGTTCACTGCAAACACAAGTGTCAAATGACCATTTTAGTAAAAACTTGACGTGGTCGATTTTATCTTAACTACAGAGTTATGTGGTTGCTTTTAATGAGTACATATAATTGTGTAATATATACATTTCATTACCGTGATTTACTTTATCACCATATTATGTACTATCCGATATCGAGCTATAAATTGCAAAACAAAAAAACTTAAATTTCACTATGGCCACACAGAAAACCTGTGTGAAACAACGCTCGACTTTTGATTTGCCGTTTGACTGAGTTTAACACCAGAAGTCCAATTGCTCCCCTCCCTAATCCCCAATCCTCAAATCTGCAACCCTTAAAAGGTCAGCGACGCACTCATAACCAACTCCTCTAGTGTAACGTGTGTTCATGAGTGGCGCTGATTGCTTACCATCAGGTTGCCGCATAAAATCTACGTTGAAGTACTCACCTTTTTTACGGCGAGGGGGATCATCCAATGACTTCCTACCTTGGGTGAATCGAAAGGGAGTGTCAGACTCTTAGTGACTGAAAACCACTCTGTTCCTACTCCTGCTTTGAACTGGAGCCCTGGCAGGCGGTAACCCATTAAGGGCTGATTTTTCAACGGTTAAGAATTAACTGCTGGTCGTTCAGGGGAAAGTAGAGGGAACCAGATCACGAGGCAGATCACCTATGCGCTGGATTGATCAAGTCAAAAAGGCAACGGGAAACCGAGTGTCAGACTGCGCCAGACAATCCATAAACAGAGAGAGATGGCGGGAGATCGTGAGGAAGGCTGTATTGGCCATCAACACAAATACGGCCGCCTCAACGTGACCACGACCGCTCTGCCAAGTGCGAAACGACAGAGAAGAAGAGAAGAATTAACTGTTGAAAAAAAATTGACATTTGACAGTGGAAGAGTTGTCAAATATTCAAAGTTATTCGTCAGTTAAAATTTGTCTGAGCATTGAAAAATTGGCCATAAGTTGCCCGCAGTTCCGGAACCCACGTAGCCTGTTTAACTTACCGGAGAGCGGTGCGAGCTTGTCGTCGTTGGCATTGAGCCTCCACTTGAGTACGCCGACGTCGCTGTGCAGCGGGAAGGCGCGCTGCGACTGCTTCAGTCCGATCACTCCGTTGGCGCGGAATGCCTCCTTGTCCACGTTAGGGTGGGTCTACCAACAAAATCTTACTGTTACGACTGAATACTGAAAGGCTACTCAATAGGGATGATAACAGGGTATGACAATTAAAAATCTAATTAGACCGTCAGTTAGGTAATGAAGGAATATAAGACATGTACTTTTTTTTTATTTTGACGTATAACAAAACAATACTTAGATAAAACGAATCAATGTTGAAGGAGGTAAGTTACGTAATTTTGTAGTATAAATCGTACTCAAAAGTGACGTCATGCAATATTTCAAATCAATATATCGTCGAAACTATTCGTTTGCGTAAGAAAATAAAAATCGTGTCTATTGTTTTTAAATAATCTACCAGACGGACATTAAAATAAAAGTTAGTCATCTGCCTTTAACCAAACGCCACTTTAGCGCTTGTCTACCGAGAGAGAAGAAAACTAAATGTATGGGAATGACACTGACAACTGTCAAAATTTACGTCAATCCCATATAATTTGGTTTTCTATTCTACATGTAGACAAGCGCTTGTCATTTGGCTACAGCTGCTGGATAGATGACTAATTTTTATTTGAAGTCGTACTTAAATATCGTGCCATCTCTGTCATTTTACAAATAATTCGTAGCGACAGAACTATACATATTTAAGCGCGACTTCAATTTGAGTGGCGTTTGAGTATTTCAGCGTTAGTCTTAGTAATATTATAAATGCGAAGGTTTGTGAGTTTGTTTGTAACTTTACACGTCAAAACGGCTGAAGAGATCCGGTTAAAAATGGAACATGGATAGATTATGGTCTCAAATAACACATAGGCTTTTTATCCCACAGGAACGTGGGCAAAGCCGCGGGCAAATGCTGGTGTTTACACATAATTAGCTGGACTAGCGAACATAGGACCACTTCAAAATCTAAAATAAATAGTCAACAGTGACAAATTCATTCGTGTAGTGAGAGGAAAATAAAATCGTTTGCTATGGCCGATTTCTAAGTTATATCAACTACCTATTTTTTCGAAGTCGGTTAATTAATAAATTAAAACCTTCGCCTGAGTGTAAAACACATTTTTTTGAAAACCGGTTCGAAATCGGTTCAGCCCAACGCGAGATAATCGTGTACAAACACATACATACATAAAGGTCAAAATAAGAACCTCCTTTTTTAAAGTCGGTTAATGAATGAGTATACCTGTAGCTGCAGCGGCCTCGGGTCCTGGTTGTCGACGTGGACGTGTATGCGCGCGTACTGCTCGTTGCTGATGCGCAGCGTTAGCAGACCTGACGGACAACACACATTTAACGTCAAATACTTCATTTCATTTTAATACTGTCCCTATATGTATACTTACTTCTTATCTTGGTTACAAACATACATATTCCTACAAAGCAAGTACACATCGAACCCGCATTACCCATTCACTTATTTCCGCAAAAAATTCTAATATAAAACAATAATATCATTGTTGATAAAATTTACCCAACATGTTTTTATTTTTGCAATGGCAATACTGTGCAAGGACACTCACCGCTAAGTTCAAAGTTCTGTACGTCCCCGTCTCTGCCAGCCACCAGAGTGAGACGCTCCTCAAACCGTAAGTGAACACTGGAACAACGGGGAACAAGTTCGTCACTTCGTTCGTATTTGTTGCTGTTTTTTCCAACGCCAGATAAATTATGACTGAGGAGTAACTTTGAATATTTGACAATTCTTCCATACTAATAACGGTCTAATGACAATTTTAAGTTAATTCTTTCTCGTTTGATTGAAAAATCGGTACTTAATTATTATAATGAAGATGCACGCGTTCGATGCTCTGATTGGCCGGCTCAAATAAACCAACCAATCAAAGCGCCGGTTTCGTTTCGATTACTTTAAACGTAAAATAAAGTCGTACAAGCCCTTTTTTGTTATTTAGTGACATAATTGTTCACGGAACTGTTCGTCGAAGTACTCGACTAGTTTCAAGTCATACTAGGGGCTCATACACTCGTCGAGTTTATATACTAATTAATTTAGTACGTCTCATGATAATTATGATATAAAAAAATGTGTGAAAAACTTACTCCTTATGGTCAGGCGGCGGTGGTTTGGCGACGTCCGTCTTGGCGGAGGGCGCGGCGACCGCGGACACGGCGTCGCCCTCGCTGCGCAGGCGCGACACGAACGACTCCGTGTCCGTGCCGCGCGACCCCAGCTTCATGGCCGACCGACCCGCCGGCCGGCTACTGCAAATATATCACATTATACTATACTCTAAGGTCAGTATATGTCCGTCTAGGGCGCCCTCTATCGACGGCCCCGTTCATATCCGCCCTGTATACTTCTTTCGTTACTCTACTTTCATTCATCCTTTCTTAACCGAAAATTGATGACATGAAAAGATTGATGACTGTTGATGAAGCTACTAAAGAGATATGTAATGATAGTAACAATTGGCGTTCCATAGCCTTTGCATACCCACATGGGACGTTATGTATGTAAGTATATATACTATACTATAAGGCAGAGATGGCGAACCTTTACGTAACAACGTGCCGTTTTTCTAAAGAATTTTTTTTAGTAGTACCATCTAAATAATAATTAATTATTTTTAGTAGTTCGTTAAACAGAATTCATGCTGAACTGGAATCATTTGTGTAACTGAATCATCAATGGTATTCATATATGAAAAAAAAAAAATCGACATACGACAGATTTTGTCATCAATGATGTGCTCAAAATATTGTGTTGGGTGCCATAAATGGTACGCGTGCCCTAAGGTATAATTTCATCAATTCCTGAACCCCCAAAAGACAGGCAACGCACTTGTACCTCCTCTGGTGTTTCGAGGGTGCGATTGCTAACAGGTGTTCCGTCTGCTCGTTTCTTGGTTTATCCCATAAAACGTCACTGTCCGCTTTAAAACAGAGCAAGAAATTGTGATGCGATTTATAAATAGACAATAACAACTTACGTTTCGCGCGCAGGCGTAGTAGGAATCTTCTCAGCGATAGGCTCAGCGGACGCAGATGACGACATGTTGGAGCTGCTGTAATTGCTTCCTGTGACAACAAATTATATGAATATTTTTATACTGCCTGCTACTTACTACTGGCTTCTTGGCCGAGTGGTCGCAAGTTCGCTGTCGGGCAACGGGTCAAAGCCGTAGTAACTAGTATCTCTTGACTGTTCAATACATTCAATCAACCACACTATTAAAAAGGTCAATGACACACGGTGACCGCTTTACGGCTGAAATTATCTACCTTAAACCAAACTCATTGGTTCAAGATCGATTTTTGACATTACTTGTATGGATTTTCTGTAATAAACTAATATCGCCCCCAGAGGTTTTGGATTATGGTCGGTTATTAAATTCAGCCGTTACATTTTAATGACGTGACCACGGAGACATGGGCAACAATTTTATCGGATTCAGGATTTAAATTACAAAAAAAATTAACTTACCGAAGGACATCTGACTGCGTGTGGGCACGCCCCTTTTGGCTGCCTCCAACCTCTCTCGCTGCAACTCTTTGGCACGCTCACGCATGCGGTTGGCGGCCTCGCGCTCTTGTGTCTAGACGGAGGAAATACATTGGCTGATTAGAGTCACATACCTCTTATTTTTTAAGTCGCTTAAAACACACAGCACCTTTAATATGGTCTGAGAAACTTATAAGAATCTTTTGAACATGAATAATTGTAATTAACATTATATTTTTACACAGGTTCAGTAATTACGAATTAATTACTTAATGTTTAATTTAAAAAATATTGCGATTGAACTTACCTGACGCACAGCTTGGTAAATCTTCTCTTCATGGGAGTCCATCTCCACAAACGACCGTACCTGATTGCAGAAAGTATTAATATAACAGACATATGATTTTGTCGTGTGAGTGACGTTACCAGAGGCTCAATTACCCCCCTTTCCCCAGTCTCCCTAATTCGCGAATCCCCCACAATCCTCAAATTCTCAATTTGTAATAGACCGGCCGCACTTGTAAAGCCAACATTACCACTAGGTGGTCCGTCTGCTCGTTTACGGGCTTATCCCATAAAAAAAGAAAAGATTAATAGTTTTTCACAAGAACCATTATTTAATTAACAAGAAAGAGAGAAACAAAATATAATGTATTTGGCACCAGGCTTAATGCACCAAAAATATGTAAACTAGAAACATAATATGTAAAATATTATTATTTTGAACAAACCTGTGCCAAGTTGACACTCTCCCTGTAGCCGAGAGCCACAATCTCGTCGAATGCAAACAGCAGGTTGAACGCCTGGTTCAGTACCTCAGCCTCTGTCAGCTGAGTGCAGTATTCTGGGACCTGTGTTTAATGTTGATATTAGGGACTATTAACAGACATGGACAAAAGGCCAGACAGCTAATTTTTTACTGAAATATCTGTTATCTATAGAGATACATAAAATTAGAGTGTCTGTTTATAATATAACCGCTTTTTACTAGGTGCACATGAATATACATATGATACACATACCAAAATTGAAACAAATAAAAAATAATATTCTTAAATTCATATTCTATGCACATGAAGTTGTGGGCAACAGCTGGTATGTAATAAAGTTATTTATATTTATATATTACTAGCGACCCGCCCCGGCTTCGCACGGGTGCAATATGTACATATATACATACAAACCTTCCTTAAGAATCACTCTATCTATTAAAAAAAACCGCATCAAAATCCGTTGCGTAGTTTTAAAGATCTAAGCATACATACGGACATACAGCGAAAGCGACTATGTTTTATACTATGTATAGATAAAAATCGTTAGGTAACTGATTTATCGTAAATGTACTATTACTGTACTGTACTGACTACTGTACTATTACTACACTTTAATGTACCAAATATACCTAACATTATAAATCATACATGAATATACATATTATGTTATAAGTCATAATATGGTTCTTGCCACATAAAGCATTTTTAATACGGATAATTTCCTTGGTATGAAGAAGTGCAAGGGCTCAGTAATGTAGGCAAAGGAAAAGACTTTAAAATGGACCTAGATAATATGTATTCTCAAATTCATTTACAATTAAATCAATAACTAACAATTCAGGCACATTTTCATACAAAACAGGATTTTTTTTAAGGGGGGAAAATCGAATGACTGCTCCAGCCTGGGTGAGGCGAGAGGGAGTGTCACACTCTTACTGACTAAAACCACCCCGTTCCTTCTCCTGCACATCAAGCAGGAGCCCCGGTAACCCGTTAGGTTCTCCGCGACATACGAAACAGGAACAGGAAGAATCACTGACAGACAGACGGACGGACAATTCAATTTTTGACGTTTCAAAAGTGCCTAATGAAGAATTAATTTTATTGAAATAAATGCTTTGACTTTGACTTTGAAGTAATCCCTATTAGAATTATCCATATGATCTTCTTCTAAGAATAAAAAAAAATCATTGTATTGAACTCACCACTCTACTGAACAAGCGCAAAGTCTCTAAATCCTCGAGGATATTACTGGCTTTAGTGGTGATGAGTAGCATGTACAGCTTGTCCAGCGGTTGGTACACATACCTGCAATATTATACATTAATTTAATCCATTTATTTTCATAAAATATTATATCTTATACTTCATTTGAAGTAATTGTTTAGGTTTAGGATGAATGGAGCAATGATGTTTCAATTTATGATTATTGGTAATTGTACTATTTCTTATTAGAAACATTTTATTGTCTTACAAGTCACAATATCTTCCAATAAGACTGAATCTTAATTATACTGCATAGTTGGCTGTCATTAGTAGTCAGGTCAGGCAAAGTATTACTGAGTTTTAAAAAAATTATCAGTAGCAGCATGGAGTCTGGAATTGTGCCTGGTATATGGCTCTCCCCCTATTACATGGGACTTATAACATAAATAGTGAAAAGTGGGTGTTACATTGTACAGTGGCATAATGTACACCTATGCCTACCCCTACAGGGATAAAAGGCGTGATGTTATGTATATGTTATGTCTAAGAATAAGAGAACAAGACAAGACGATGATTTAATACTTTTATAGAACCTTACATCACAAGAATTGAACACAAAAATTTAAGTTTATCTTTACCTGACAGACTCAGTTTCTACGAAGGTGTGCTGTCTACCTCCAGTCATGAGCTTGGGGAAGGCAGCCAGCAATCCTTCGATACGTGCCTTCGTCATCTCCACGAATTGACGTGACACCAATGCTGAAAATTACGTTAATATTTTATACACTTTTCCTATAAGTTTCACGTATGTATTGTATAGTTCGTGAGTCAAATATAAATTTAATTACCTTTTCCTGACTTCGTACATACTGTAGCCGCTATAAGCACCTGCAATTACAAAAAAACACCACTGAAAACTATAAACATAAGCCGGATGAACTTACGAGTACTTTTACAGAAAAATCATAAGTCTCTTGCACTATTTAAATTAATAAAAACACTAAAATAGATTTATTTTATATCACAAACACTGTAACAAGAATTACCATTTTGATTTAGTGTATTAATTTTCAGTTTTCATCAATTAATTACAATCTGCAAATCTGACAGCCAACACACCGAGATGACGTGTAGAACTTTTTTTTAATTAATGTTGCCAGCTATTCTAATATGATTTCCTGTTTTTGAACGAAAGTGTGAGATCAAAAACATTACCCTCCTTCTTTGGCAGTCGGGTAAAAAGGCATATTGACCAATAAAGTCATTATCCAAATGTTGACGTAAATAGAAAAAACTTTCTTGTTAGTCTATGTTTAGAATAAATGTCAAATTTGTCAAAAGTAAGCATAGCACATTGGGGTTATTGTTCGTTTTTTAGCTAATTTTAACGTATAACTTGTATCTTTTCACGTAATTAAGATTATTATTTAAAGTGTTCAGTGACACTGTTTGGACAATGGAGGTTTTTATTTGATTCGGTGTCTAAATTCTATGGAATACGTTTGCATACCACGGAAGCCAAATAACAGTAGTAAGTGGCAAGATTTTTAATTATTTTGTATTGGTATTTAGATGTAGTGGTTCAGGTCACATGCTCTCGAGTATGCGTTCGTTGTAAATGAGTGTTACCGTCATTCTTTTCGCTAATGGTCGAACGTTTGATTTGCATACAATGATATTTTCTTTATGCCTGATTTATAGATAATCTTTTCATCCAATAATGTTCACAGTTGTTAATACGTGATCATGCCGTCAGTACAGATGGCTGGACATTGTTATGAATTGAGCAGTTTTAGTATTTATTCACACAAAAGTTGTGTAGTTTAGTTTATTTTTAATGTTTTGATGTCATGGAGGAGACCTCTCTTATTGATAGTGATAATGAGGTATTTAATTTGTTTACTACTCTCCTATCTCTTCTAGTTCACAACTACCACCAGAAAATTATTTTATAGTTTTATTTGCAGTTTCCTTTTTAAATATGATGTGAAAAAATTTGCATAATAGACAACATACTATAATATAGGTGCTATTAAGTGTTACAAAAATGTTTGTGTCTAATAAGAAAATTGAAGAATTAAAAAGCTTGATGGTTAAAGTTTAATACTGAAGGACTTTATTGACAGTCCACAGTTGAGAAGTATGTGTAGAGATGAAGAGATGTGACGCGTGCCGTGTCCGTTCCGAACGGAGGACGGAGGAGAGGGCGGAGAACACAGGAGACAGAGCCCCCCTCATAGACATAACTGTCCCTCAGGAGGAGTCTTACGATAGCCAAAATTTAGTAAGATCAACATCATTTACGTAGTTAGCACTTTTATTATTTCCGTGCACTGTCCGTATTTTGTGCACCCATTTTGTTGGTTATATGCAATATTTTTGTGGTTCGTTTTTTGTTTACTTTGTCTTAATCAGCATCATGTTATTTGTAATGTTTTGTCTGTAGTTTGCCAGTTGATTTATTTATTGATACTCGTAAGTGCAATAATAAATAAGCAGTATCTTTGGTTTAATAGTAAACATATAGTATATTGACTTATTTCTTCTGATAAGAGAGTGAGAGTAGATATAAATATCTGTACAATATACATCTATTTTTTATACTATGTGGGTGAGCATACAAAATCTTAGATTTTATCTAAACTTGCCACATTTTGAATTGTCAGAATGTGTAACATCCAATTTCCAGATCAACAGATTTTTGCAGTGTGCAAGTCATTTTAAAACTACCTACATTTTTAATTACCAATATGATTTTGTGTTAATACACAACAGTTAATACTGTTAAAACAGTTTATAATGTTAAAACAGTTTATACTGTTAAAACAGTTTATAATGTTAAAACAGTTTATACTGTTAAATAAAAATTGTATTCACACAAATAACACTATAAAGACTAACTTTTAAATTGTTTAAAAGTTAGCCTGTACATTTTATTAACTTGTTGAGTACCGTCTTTGTAGACACAATTATAGAAGGTGTTTGACAGTTTAAGAACATACCATAAAGCTACTATTCTAAAGACAATCAACGTCATATCATTTCAATGCAAAGAGTTGTCGATAAAAAAATCAAATACTTTATTCTACGCAATATACTTTACTGTACATTGATCCAATATGAGAACGACATTTTTAAAATAATAACCGATACTTACCAGTTTTTGATAAACACAAAACTATATTTACGGTTATCAAAAAAGACGATATTAATGTGTATTAAGGCAGTGTCTACTGCCTGTGAGGATTATTTTTAAACACAGGATTATCGAAATTAAGACTCGAGTATTAAAATATAAATCATTACGCCATATTTAGTGAAATCAAGTGATTAATTTAGAATAAGGAAGTACATTTATGTCTTATCTTAGTTTTAAATAATACATGTTAAGCAGTAGATCAACTTTGAAACTTATTTCAAAAAGAAAATGGTTGAAAATATTAAGTGCTGAATATAAAATACACACGATATACGAGATATAGTCAAGAGAACACAAAATAATGTTGCGATTTTTTGGACAAAATGCTCAGCGCGTCTGTATTGAAGTGGAAAAAATGTAATTTCTTTATAAAACATATTTCTCTACCTTATCTTCTAATTTATTTCAATTTGAGCCATAATTATCTTTTATTCGTATGACAAAAGACAGCAGCTCATTATTTGACCTTTTCTACATCTAAGCTCGCTATCGTAGAAAGTAAACAAAGAGAAATCACTTGGTCATTAACAGCTACTGATAGCGAGCCACACTAAGATTACAACTTTATAACGGATTTAAAAATAACTGATAAAATTGATGCGACCATTTTATTTGCGGCCCCAGTGAATTGCAATGCTCCTCGTACATCAGAGTTCAAAATATATTGGCGAGGAATTCCCGCCTTTTTAGAGCAGTGTTCTTTTAGAGACAAGTTGCAAAGGCAGTCTCTGTGAAGCCTTGGAAGGATGCGGTAGTGTAATGCATGTGTGGATATCGTGCGTCATTGTGTGAGACCTATAATGAGGTTTTAGTGATAATAATTCGAAACACGTTAATGAAAGAATGAAGAAAAAAATCAACATAACCATGACTCCGAAAAAGGTAAAACATATTTCGCACATTTAAAATGCACGTTCGAAATATTCGCGGTAATTATAACAGTTTATAAACGTAATAATGGAAACGTGTCGTTCATTGAAACAAAGAAAATCGCACGTAATTTTTCTTGAGCGTAAAAACAGTATAAATAAAACACTGATGTTTCCATAATTTAGTCGCTAGCGGTCATGCGAAAACAACTAATAAGCTCATAAATATGTTTATGATTATTTCGCTCGCCTTTTTAGTAAAGCTGGTTATACACAACACCAAAAAATATCTTTAAAAGTAAAACTTTTTGTTTAGAAGGCATGTCTGTTTCAAAGTGCTTGACGTATTTAGTTTAGTAATCGGACAGGACATCAGTGTTGATTTTGAGATGGATAGATTTGATTGCCCTATTCAATAATGATTATCATTTGATTTCGCTACCAAAATAATTTGTCATTGTCCTTGCAATTGGGGTTCGGGATTTGTTTCCAATGTGTCCTGTTCTAACTATAAGAAGCCTGATGACATGGTCAATATAGCACAATATGATATCCTCTGGCATTGGGACGTGACATTATGAAAGACAGGTTGATAACGTCACTTTCGATTTTACAACTGACGAGTCCCAGTTACCGGTATTATCCGTACTTCATTTCAATTAGTGTCGCGTCCTATCTCGCTATGAGTTATCGATAACACCGTTAACTAATCGATATACCCACGTTTTGTTATAATCATGTCAACTGATAACTAATTCGATTTTTTTGCGAATGAGGTGAAATTTTTCGCAAACAATAAAGGATCTCTTTTGCTCTTTAAAAGCATACTAAGAAGATCTTTGTCCAATCTTCTTAGTTAGTCCTGGGTTGGATCTTGTATGTTTGATCTCTTTGTTTGTCCATATTTATATTGACCATTAGGTGTCAGGGATAAAATAAATGTTTAAAATGCTCGAAACTATTTAAATGAGTCCTACTCTTTCGCGACACATCGACAGAGGCCAGGCAGTAGCGCTCTCTGATAAACCTGCACCTTTTATACTCCGATGTCAAACCCAACTACCAAAGGGTGGAGTTGATGTTCCTGATAGTTATCAAACAATCACAGGGATCAGGATATTCATTGGCGAATATACAGTTCGAAGGTTTTTTTCTCAGTCTACCTTTGTCACCTGAGCTAACTGGACTGGCCTATCTTGTATGTGAATGATGGACAGCGTTCTTCAAAAAGTTTTGTTTAGTTAACGAATCTAACGTTCTTTAATTCATGAGTCATGAGACCTGACTTTCAATATCGTATTTCTCAAATGATCTAGGAAAATGGTCCTAGGATCTTGTTTTCTCTTGTATCCAATCAGCCTTTTACAAAAATTAGTATTCAAGATCGACACCAATTTTCACCGCAAAAAGTAAACGAAATTATGTATCGCGCCGGGATCAGTCCTTGCGACTTAATTTATTCTAGCGTGCATTCTTGCGACATTATGTTTCTTATGTCCAAACAAAACCTTACAACACTTTATATTATTGTCATTTACTTTATTATTTTATTTGTGGGTTAAGTGCTTACAAGCGTGATTGCCGAGTTTGGGTCTTTGGGTCCCGGGGTTGCGAACAATCGCAAGGGTTACCGGGGCTCCGGCTCAAAGCTGGAGTAGAACGAGTTGGTTTTCAGTTATTAAGAGTCTGACACTTCTTTTGCTTCCCCTAAGGCGAGAAAAATGGCTTTTTCGGTCACGAATAGCATTCAAGATACTTTCAGTTTCTAATATTCTAAAAATGATGATGTAATTAGACATACCTACAGAAAATATTGCGTAAAAAGGCATGATTAAAGTTATTAAAGTATTTGAAACGCCCGAGATAACTTAGACCTAGAATAGTTCACGTTTGTAATGTGCAACTTAGCGTACTGCACTGTATTTATTTACCATTCACCGGAATACCGTTTTGCTCTAGAATTCAAGAAAGTAAAATTGCCATGTAGGACACGGCTTTCTTTAGAGCATTAAAGGTTTAAAAGAATTCTGCTCTATAGCTATTACAATAGGCTACCTGAAAGAATAGATCATCAAAAAGATCTTGATGTGTTTATGGGTATAAGCCGGTAAACAAACGGCACCGCCCATAGACACCCGAAACACCAAAGGCATTACAAGTGCGTTGCCGAATTTTTGAGGGTTAGAATTTCAGGATTGTATGGGAATTGGGTCTCCGGTAACCTCACTCGCACGATGAAACACATTGTAAGCGTTGTTTCACGCCGTTTTTCTGTAAGGTCATGATGATCCTCACCCTGGCGGGAGAAGTCATTCGATGGTTATGCCACCTTAAAAAAATTCACTCCGGTCGAGCCAGATCATGGCTCTCACACACTTGAAGTATTTTTTCGTGTACTTATCTTACGCTACAAAAAAAATTCAGTTGCCCCATCAATGGACAATGGGAGCGTTTCAGTTAATTTTAAGATTCCTACTACACAATACATTGTATGTATAAATACAGTCATTTGGTTTTTCTTAGTAATAATGACACTTTGTATCAGTAGGACTTCTTGTAACTAAATGAGTCATAATCAATTTATAGGAAATCTGTATACATATGAAGATACCAGCATGTTCAGCTATACTCCCTAAGAATTTTTCAACACAGTTTACTATGTGTTGTAATGTCGTAACTTAAGGTTCAAAATGTCTTAACAAAAATAGTCACATAAGGATAGTTAAATGAGTTGTGGCGTCGGTGAACATTGGTCCAAAATCAGCATGTTTCATTTAACATTCTCATTTTCTGCCGATGGAAAAGGATTTTTAGGTTCAAAGTTTGAATTCATGTCTCTACATCACTGTATTACTCACAAACATTTTGGATTATGATGATTACGAAATACAATTATCTTTGTGCAATCACACTCCAAACTAGTCTTCAAACGATCTCCCTTGTATGTAAAATTATAAGCCTCTAAAACCTTATTTAGTTCTTTAACAGCGAATGTATGACGTGTTGAAACCTATACGTCATCAGCTCATGCAGACTCAATAAAAATACAATCAAGACATTAAACATGAAAAACGCATTGTGGCTACAGTCAAAGGATTTCATTCGAGGCCCTAGAACGCATTGAGTAAGGCCTATGTTCACCAGTCGACGTCTTGTGGTTGATAAAAATAATGATGATAAAGCAAAATATATATCCATCAGGCAGTCCATTAAAGACTTAGATTCATATGAAGAAGGACCAAGAAACTCAATCGCAAATCTTTTAAAGGCAGTATTACGTAAACAGGTTCGTGCAAAACAAAAAGTTTTAAACCGGTATGTTAATGGAACGTTTAACTAAGTCTTCACTTACTTTTGTTTCGTCAAACAATAGAAAAGTTGGTGTATCGTGTTACTAGGTCCTTATACTTGCTAGTAGAAACTTCGACCGTAGAAAGGTCAAGAACGGATCATTAGTAGCCACCCGGTTTCCAAGCAGTGTTCTCTCACATTAATTATTTATGTACTTGCTGATCGATGTGTCAATACAAAGGATTTTGTACTACGAAGCGAAGTTGCGAAGTTTCTCAACAAGGTTGCGAAGACTTATTAATTTTGTTTCAAACTTCAAAGGGTGTTTGTGTTTATGGAAACAAAAGTGTTCAAGGTTCTTGTGTGCCCTTTTCACGTGGCGAGGTGGAAAATTTTGAGGACCGTTTCTTGTACTAATTGGCTACAAAGACTGTCTTCAATGCAAGTTGGAAAAGGCACTTTGCAGTTTAATTTGTGAAGACCACAAAACAATTTAAGCAAATAAACAAGATTTCCTAGAAATAATGTTAAGCAATAACTTGTCCCTAAAACAAGTGAGGCGAGTTAGTTTCTTATCTCAGTTCTAGTTAGAGACAACCGTAGGAAATGGTACACTTTACGTGTTTTATAAGGTATGGCGAGCGAGCACGCCATGTGCAATGTACTGCACATATATTTGCCCATACTTAACTTCTGGAATTAGTCTATTTTAGAACTAACACTATTTATTCGACTATCATATTCGTGTTTTTCTTGCGGGTAGCTAGCTAGGTAAGCATCTAGGCTAAGCTGTAACTGTCAATTCGATCTTTGAAATTGAGCTCGATCGCTTTCGCGCCCGTCATTGGTCGAGATGATTCTCACAACCAATAGGATGGCGGATTACGTTACGACCGAGTTCACTTCGATCTTTAGCTTAGCAGGACTCTCTAACAAACCATTTAAATTTCGATTAAATCTCCAAGCAGACTTACGAGCTGTGGATGATATCTGTTCACATAGTTAAAGAATTTTGTTTGTTTAACAATAATTGTGAAAATGGACAAGAGTCCATCGATATATGGTGATATATGGGACCAGATGAGCTGATGCCCGATACGGAACCGCGGAAGGCCTAACGGGTTGCCGGGGCTCCGGATAGAAGTGCAGGAGTAAGAACAGGGTGGTTTTTAGTCAGTAAGAGTTTGACACTCCCTCTCGCCTAACCCAAGGCGGGAGAAGTCATTGGATGATTTCACCCCTCAAAAAAAAAGCTTAGATATTAGGGCAAGAGGAGGCTCATAGTCCAGTAGATCACGACTTACGAGCTGTGGATGATATCTGTTCACATAGTTAAAGAATTTTGTTTGTTTAACAATTGTGAAAATGGACAAGAGTCCATCGAAGCTTTGAATTAATTTTTAGTTTCACCGTTTTTACTGAGTTGAAATTGTTATCAAGTCCACAAAGTTTGTTCGAAATTATTATGGATCTATTGGAGCGGCCATTATTTTAATAGGAGCCTTTTACTTTTACAGCAATATCGATGCTACGATGATAGGTGTGGTATAACAATTTTAAAAATTTGTACGGCTGTGGATTGTCTCAGTCTGTTAATGATGATGTTGTCAATTTAGAGGAATCCTACCTTTCAGCTATTATCATAAAAATGTGCTGCTTAAGTATCACATATAAACAATATTTTATACGTCCTTGTGTTTGTCCTATCCTACTAGTAATAAC